CAGCCAACGACTTCTGCACTGAGTTTGTATCAGCCGGAAACAGCCACCATCAATGTTGTCAAGCCAGTAGAAATTGACGATGATGAACATGAACCGGGCACTGAAACTGAAAATGAATTGATGGAATTTGAAGAGTCATTAATTCACTGGAGTAATTTCGAAGCCTTCAGCGGCTGAGATCGCGATCGACGAAGCGGATATCGCGGATTTAGTGGCAATCGTGGATGCGGCGCAGCCAGACAATGATGAGCTGCCAGATTTTGACATGGAAGAGCTGGAAAAATTGGAAACGGAGCAGCATGATGACAATGCAGATGGAAGTATCCAACAGCCTATCGCTGCCGCTGTGCAACAGGAATTGGTTGCCGTCGAAGCTGTGCATGTTTCAGTGCCTGTGCCAGATGAAGTTGTTTTGGTGCAGCCAGCAGTCGTTAACATGGCCCCACCAGTGGAAGAACCTAACTCTGCTGAACTGGAAGTTGGACAGCCGACGCCGGCGCCGAGCTCAATTGTTGACAACAAGGGGATTTTTCCTTTGAATCCTTTTGTGCCGTCAATTTTTATTAAAGTTTAATGTGGGCTCAGTTGTTATTATTTTTCGTACAAGGTAGCTGTTGTTGTCCATTATGCGCATATTTTATTCAGTTGCGGAGTTCTTATTATTTTTAGAACTGCCGTGTTGTTCACAGTCTCGCCGTCTTTTGGATCTGCGCAGAGTTTAATAATTTTATTTTTGGTAGAATTTTATCTTGTAGTTGCCGATCGTTGATCTTTTGTTAGTCGCGTGCCTGGTCTAATAGTTTATCATGCGGAAGTAAAATGTAGTCGCTCGTGACGTAACCGATTTTGGGAATTAAAAGAGCTTTAGAGACGCGCTCTGATTGGTCGAACTGTTCGGGAAGTTTCCGCAGTTACCGGCGTAATGCAAATTCAGAATTCGGCAGGTATATAAGCATGCCATGTGCGGTAAAATTTTCAGTGCATTTTTCATTTTCTCCTTGCACTTTTTACGTTGTTGTGCCGTACCGGCATATCGTTATAATTCTGCCGTGTAAATTGTACACTTTTTCTTGTTTTTGTGTCTAAGGTCACGTTTGTGCCGTGTGTGATGTAATGCCGCCCATTGATCCGAATCGAGCTTTTGAAAAGCTGGTGGACGCAGTTTTTCAAACATCACAGTTAAATCAGCAGCAACAGCAGTATGGATACGGATTTCGTGGAGGGAGCCACCGTGGCGGTTTCCGTGGCGGATTTCGCGCGCGTCGCCCTAACCATGTGCGAGTGTACAGAGGCGAAAATCTCCGTCGTGACGCACCTGCTTGGCAGCGTGGAAGCAGACCCCTGGGGCAACAGATGCCTGTTGAGGCTCCTGCTGGACCTAACGATCCAATTGTCCGCGTGGCGCATCCCGGCCTCCCTATGGAGATCGATGCCCAGGACCTTGCGAAGTCGATTCCACCGCCTGAAAACCAGCATCACGGACCTGTGGTCGCGACTGTCCCCGTTGCTCCTAATGCTGATCAGCATCTACCAGGTTCGGTTGCAATCGTGAACTCTGTTGCGCCTGTGAATTCTGTTGTAGCGCCTGCGCCAGTCGTTGTTCCAGTTGTGAGTGCGCAGCCTGTGCAACCAGTGCAGTATCCGGGTTTGCCACCTGGCATAGAATCGTTTGTCGTACCAGCGAGTGCTCCTGTGCGTGATCGCTCCGCATCGCGTGACCGTGTGGGCAAGCCAAGCCATGATTTCGTGCCGAATTTCGTCGCAGACCAGGACATTCTTCAGAAGAGTTTGCGTGAGTCAGAGATGGAAAAGCGTCGTTTGATGGCCGCGGAAGTGAGTAAGCGTTTGGACGCAGCTTCCAGTAATTCTGGCCAAACCGGATTATTTTCATTGGCGCCCTCTGCTGGCAAGTAACCTTCAGTGTCCTTGTACTTTTATTGTTGTGACCTGATGCGCATTTGAATCTTTACTGTTGATCTGATCTTGTTGACTTGTTGCATTACTGTGATTTGATCTTTATTATTTTTTTTTTTGCCTTTTTGTTTCCTCTTACTAGTGTAAATGGGCCAGTTGCAGTTCATGTTGCACAGAGCCATGTGTAATTTGTCGTTGTGTGTTATCTGTGTAAACGAAAATCCGGGTCAGACCGTCGTCCCGGTAAAGGATTAACCACGTACAGCCTACCTCAGGGACCCTAAAGTAATGAAAAGTAAAATCCAAAAAAATCAATAAAATTCAGAAAAGGTCGTGTGGTCTCTCGCTTGTTGTAAATATAGGAAATCAGTTACGGAAATATGAAGTAAACCGGAAATAAAGTCCGTGCATAGCACGACTACCACACAATGCCAGTTACGTTCGCATTGTACAGATTCGGCTTACGGCAGAGCACAGTACTTGCAAAGACCAAGAATTTCACTTACAGTACTGTCGTCTACCTGAAATTTGTGAACTCTTCCTTTTTTGGTGATTGTAGTCGTGGTGCGCAGAGCACGGTATAATTATATTTGTTTAACTGCATTACATTAATATTGCGACATGGCAGAACGCAAGCGATCGGTTTCGTTCTTTCAACGGTATACGGCTGAGACGGATGAGAAGCGTATACGTGCAGCGATATCGTTGGAATCCGTGAATAAGATTCCTGTGGTCGGATATGCACAGCGCCGTGGATCCTTGGCTTCCACACAGTTTAGTTTGCCACCATCGTCGCCAGCATCTTCGACTCGAACACTGTCTGTCTCGTCAGTGTTCTCAGCGCCCGAACTGGGATACACATATACCCAACCGGAAGAACCGAACCACCAGATGATTCGCGCTGCGCAGCTAATGAATAGAGCTTTGGATCTTGTTGATACTGTGCAACCAAAGGAGCGCCTGGCTTCAAAAGCGTTTATCCGCCAGAACTTCAGCGTGCAGCGTTGGACGAAAATCGCACCGTTGTTGTTTGGTAATGGCGAAGCTACAGGATTTAAGCGCAAAGTGCACGACGAGCATGTGGAACCGCATTCTGCGCCACCGATCGTGAAGCAGGGCTATCCTGTATTCCATCAGCAGAAATTATCTCCGTTGAAAGAAGCGAACACCGGAGGATCTCAGTCTAGCAGCAGCTCAGAGAACAAGCCCCGAAAATTCTATATTGATGTAGAGCCATTTACTGATTGATTTAGTTTAATCTGGAGGTGTTAGTGTTTTCGCGTTGGCAAATACCACTTAAATCTGAAATGTTTACGGTGCCTTAGTTTGATTTTAATGAACGGATTGGAATTATTTGAGAAAGCTGGAAGACATTGGTTATGTCGGAGTATTCGAATTAAAATTAGAATAATTAGGTGTTAGAATAAAATTAAATCAGAATTACGGCATTTCCGGTATACACACCCGCCGTATGGCAGTTTGGTATTATTGTACGCACGCAGTGTGTATTGAGACTTACGGTTTCGAAATTCAAATTTACAGTTCTCAGCACACAGCAAACGTTCAGTTTTTGAAGTTCCCCATATTTTGATTCCGTCCGTATTATCTGGTGATCATGCCACGACAAATTGTTACTGGTCGAGCGAGACGTCTTGGACAAGAAGCATTAGAAGCGTATGATAGAGCTAAGGCGGAATGTGAGCAGATGTTAGCTGCGATCATGGTGTATGTCGAAGCGATGGAAGACATGGACGAAGTTCGCCGACAGAATGACGAGTGGATTCGCGAAGGACACTTGGAAGAACAAGTTGGCGTGGTCCTTGATGTGTTCCAGGATGAGCAGGATAAGCAGCGCTGGGTTCGCACTGCGCAGTTGAAGATTAATTCGTCGGGCAGATTGGTTAAGCAGAATTCCGAGGAGCCGTGGTCTGCTCCTGATACGTTTGATGTTGATGGTTATAAGAAGTGGGAGGATGGTCTATTTGTCACTGAGAAGGAGCCATCCGCACCACCAGAAGAACAAGAACCTGTTGAGCCAGTGGCGGAGCTGATTGTGCGTGCGCCGTCAGAGGAGATTCCGTTTCGGCAACTGATTCTGATGGATGTTGATGAGCAGAAAGAAGATACGCAGTCTGAATACGTTTCCATCATTAGTCTGCATAACTATCCACGTAAGGAGTAAATCGTTGTTATTCTCATTTCTCGTGATGATTCTTGTGTTTTACCAGTTCTAGTACAAGTTCTAGTTTTTATTGATAGTAAAGTGTGGAGAATTACAGACGTGCGTATATTCATTAAAACTTCAGTGGAAGTTGTCGTTCAGTCTTTATTTATCTTTTACCCAGCAGCACAATTTAAATTTTATACATTCTAAGACGTGCGTAATAAAGCCGTGTGCCTAACAGCTTATCACCAAACAACATCAGAAATAGACGGCACAGTAGTAGTTAGTAGTAGATTTCAGCCTCCTTGGATCCTGGATCTCCGCCCCGCCAATCCCATGGACTTCCGGATGCCATCGCCGCTAGAATCCTACTCTAACATTACACTACGGATCAGGCGTACAGTCATTGGGCATCGGATGGACATGCGTGGATTGTGTCGGAGTGCGAGAGATGGATCGGGATGGAGTGCTACACAATCACACGGGATGGACTGGATGGATTAGTTTATGTTTGCGGGAGCAAAAAATCGTTTGTGGGGGTGACGTGTGGAGGAGTACGTACGAGGGATTCCACCGTGCATCCACTGACTGTCCGCCTTTACCTGCAAGTACAACCGGAAGTGGTTATCGTTCCATCTAGTCTGTGATTCGTTACTCGTTATGGCTTAGCGATGTATTCTGATGTACAGCATTTCTAGTCTATATAAGCTTGAGTTATTCCTAATATTGCGAGCGGTCTCGGATCAGTCTTGGATTTCAGACTTTGAGACTACTTGCTTTTAACTTCCTGCGTTGTGCATATGATTGTGTGTTAGCGGAGTAAAGCATTTTCTGTGTTATCGACGTTCATAATTAAATACGGATTATTAGATCGAGCGTGGTAATCACGGTATGCTCGTGCTTCGTGGACCCTCATGTGTATCGACCGGAAGTTAGGAGTATTCAGCACAATTGCTTAGGGATTCCTGATTCTACGTGTTCCAGAATTATCCATTTCCGTCCGATTTACTGTAACAGATGATTTAAGAGTTGTTCTACCGACTGGGCATTAAGGCAGGGAGCAGATCTACAATCCGTTTCGTACAGGGCATCCACCGGATATACCGTACCGAACTGACTGTCAATAGCAGGATCGAGCAATACGACACCAGAGCTCGTATTTTGTGCTGCAATGCAAGGTTGTAAAGCCATAAAACGCTATTGCATGGCAGGCACTACTGAGTACTGACCAATACCGTCGATACGGTAGAACCTTATCCCTATCGAGCAGGTGAATATGATAAGATACACGCACATGATTAGCCGCATGAGGTCATCCTTATAACTTATGACAAATTGACAAGTAACGATTTTTGGCAATAAACGATAATTTCTTAGCGCTATTGCCGGCATCCCTATGCACCGTTGTCCGTCGACTACACATTTTGTTAATTTTTTATTTTTGTGATAATCTCATGGTTAACGAGGAAGTCATTCCATTTGCTTACTCGGGTAGCTGATTAAAATTCACAGTTTTAAGCTGACAGAAAAAAAGGCGGGGCGACTATAATCATAAAATACCCTCAATGGCGTTTTTGTAGTTAAACTGCCTCGCTAGTTTTTTTATGTCATTGTGATTAAATAATTAATATCCGAATAAAATGTAATATTGATTTTCTCGAATGGCTTCAGTGCTAAATGCGAACTATGGCATCATATTGTAGAGTAGTATGTCAATTACCGTAATCAAAACGAGCGTAACCGAAATAAAATTACGTACTAAAAAAGCACTCATAACTAGAAAAATAGTGCATCTGTAGGTACGGTTGAATACTTCCACCTGCGCGTTTAACAATCGCATGGTATAGTCAACACACAAAATTTAATGTGATTTCGAACAATAACAAAGAAACTGTGGAGCGTGAAGAGACGCGTAAACATTATTCTCTGCATCAGGAATTGGCCTTTCTATGTTGACAATGGTTTTATGTATGGCAATATATGTAAAAGCTTATCTAAAAGGTAACACGAAGTAAGAATCAACGAATCAGTTGATTACAGACTGTGAAGTCTACGCAGATATTTCCGTAGTACCCTAAATTATGGATGTAATAAGAGCCGGGAGAAGCCAGAAAGAAGTGAAGTAAGAGCGTAGGTGTGAAAAATGTTTTAAAAAGGTGGTGCGAGTGGCCAAAACGTTTTGAAAGGTGGTGACAGACTGACAGTAGCCAAACGTTAGCCAATTAAAGGTGGTGTCAGGGTGGTGAGAATAGCCGTTTCCTAAATAATATTAATGGTTTGTTTGTGTGGCAACAAACTTGGCTGCATGCATTACGCAAAATACTGTAGTACCGAGTATCTATTCGTTTATTATCTTACAGTACTGAAGTTGTAGTGTTGTACAATACATACCTGTTGTATGTACAATACATGTTGTACATGTTGAAGTTGTACATAGCAAATGTATGTTACTACAGTACACTGTGCCTACAAGTATAGATGGGCTTCGGCATTCTGCATTCGGGGCAATTTGGGACCTACACCGCAGAACCGGCGACAGGCTCTAGGAGACATGTTCTTCCTGGTCCGATTCCCAATGATGACGGACGCCCAACTCGCTGATGGTCTCTTGAAGGTAACCCGCGGCGTGCAGTTAGCTGCCTTTTTGACAATTCCACCGGCAAAACGTTTGTTTTCTATGGTTCACACTGCTTTCGTTTGTGCAGGATTCGGTGCTGCTGCCAGCAGACTGGAAGGATATTCACCTTCACAAGCATGCCATGGCGAAGCCTCCGCTACGCTTCTCCACGCAGCCCCGACGATCCCCAGTCATCCGCGTTGGGCAGTGGGAGTTGAAGCATCAGGAGGAAGTTTTCGTGAAAGGACGACATTTATATCTGGTATCCGGCAGTAGTGATCGGAATACGTGGACCGGAAGCCGTCTGCAGGATTTTGGCACCTGACGACGAAGACCTGGTGAAGCGAGGCCCGGAGAATATCCTTCGGGCATCCGAAATCCTGACCGCTAACCGGGCTATTTGTTATGGGAATGGTGGTTATCGGGGCGGTGATGCAGTGTATACCAAGTTAGAAGAAGGCTCCCATATTATCATTTTCGATGGCATGTTCTAGTTTTCACATTTCCGTGATTCGTAACAAGACTAAAACTTGAATACCTTGAGTGTAAAAGATGTAAAAGGTAAATAAAGTTTGATTCAATGACCTGTGCGCTTGAGGAATTTTGAAAAAGGAACCCGTCATCTTGTCTTGAGCGAGGTGTATCTATATTTATGGTTAATGTATTTATGCGTTCGTGCATGTACGCGAATCGAACCTATCTTGTTCATTTCTCCATGGCCTCAATTTATGCGTTTATGATGCATGCGAGGTGAACCTTTCGCGATTAGTTGTACATATTTTATGCATTGGTTCAGTTAGTTAGCAATTAGGACAAGTACCGCTGCTGCGCTACACTACCGTAGTAAGTCCCGTAGATGATTAGTAACATTACAACGCTATTCTGTCCAGCACTACTTTATCATTTTCCTAAATTTGTAAACTGGCAATTGATTGTGGGTGCGAGTCCGTGCGACAACGCACGTGCGAAGAATTCAACCTATTTGGTGAGTGGCGATTCAAAACTCGCACACGGTTTGTTAATCGACCGAAGCGTAGCGAAGGTCCTCTATGTTCAGTGTTCATGAAAAATGTGGTGTCTGTCGGTCACCGCCATCTATTGCACGTGTGCGCGGCGTATTTAAAGTGAAATGCACGTATGCGCGCTGGCCGTATATACTCAAGGCCCGTGCAAACGGTGGTGTCTGTCGGTCACCGCCATCTGATGAACATATGCGCGGTATACCTACTATTAAACTGCATACATACACGGTCACCCACCGCCATCTAATGCATATTTTTTACGGTCACCACATACTGTGAAACGGACACATGCACGGTCACAATACTATCAAAAAACAGAAATGCTGGCTGGTCGTATATGCTAGGGCCGCGTGTAAAATGCGGTATGCTGGTCACCATCTCTCTTTACAAGGTGTCCAGAGGCGCGGTAGCCGTATAAAAATGCTGTGCTGCCTACTGGCGTTTAGAAGAATGACATATTTATCTCGTTGATAATTCATGGTAAGCATTAATTTCTGTATTCCTATCTTAGCACAACACATACTTTGCAGTTCGCGTTGTGTTTGTCCATCGGTCACCGCCACCCTACTTAAAAGGGTAAAAGGCGCAGTGTCCATTTGTACTCGAGGCTTATGGTTACCGTAAAGTCTTTTTTCGGTAACCGATACGACGGTACCCTCCTGCCTTTGCACTATTTGCTGCTAAAATCGCTAGCTTCTGAATAATGTAACCGCTCCATGAAACTAGGACACAAAGTCTGGAAGTCCGGAAATAGTCATATACCCATAGCTGCTTGGTTTGACTAGCGCACTGCCGGCATGCCCAAGCTGCATCCTGATCTGACCGTAGGTAGTGCAGTTTGATGGAGTGCCGCAGCAGTTTAACGTGCAATTAATCCTAAAATCGCATTTAACAGCCACTTCACCTGGAAAATATTTTGGTATTTCGCCGAGAAAGAAACCGCCATCTACTCGAATGGCGATCGAGCAAAACAAACAAGAAAACTGAAAACTGAAGAAAAGAAGGAAATTTGGAATTTGCATTAAATATTGTCCAGAAACACGTCTATAGCCGGTTAAACCATGCATCCACCGCCCCAGAAGGACGTTCATCGTAACTGAGACCGTAAATACGAATACATGTTCCTCCAAGTAGAATTTAGTTTTGCACAATGTTTTTCAATATGACCGGCAGAAATATCCAATTCAAAACTTTTGCCATATTCCGAGAACAGCGGAATATTGATCTGCCTGGAGGACCTCACCGGTCTCATGGTTGTACTCTACAGTCTACAGACACTGTACATAGTATAAAATTCAAAATCGCAACATTCATCGTACAAATTTTTGATACCAAGTAGATAAAAAATATTTATAAATTTACTCCTACGCTTCGGTCATACAGTGCCCGCCGAAAGCGAGTGCACTTTCCTAGTTAAGTTTCATGGATACAAGTTTATTTAGGCAAACCTACGTGTAGTCACTGTAGTGTTAGAACTTAGAACACAAACAAATAACGACGCCACGGTATGTATATATGGTATTGACGCCAAAACCGCACTATCGGAACATTTTATATGATGGTCCTCTGCACATGATCCAACCAGGCAGACTTGAATTCATTGCCTGCATTCAGTTTTAAATCAGTTTCGTGCAGACCGCTCATAGAACTCAACTGGCCAAACTCCGTCTTGCGAATCAAACTCTGGATGTAAAACAACGCTCTGCTTGGAGGGATTCATGGGAGCTCTGAGAGCTCGTTGACGCAACCGGTAGTCAACTAAAAATAGACATGTCCTTACCGTACAACACAGTTCTCTCAGTTTTTCATAAAATATTAATGTGCACTGTACGCTGTACTACAGTAGCATAATGATACGTTGATGCGAACGCAAAAATCAACCAGCAAAATAACTACTTCTACGTGTACTGTCGACTGGTACATCACCATTAACTACCAGCATTAATATTTAGTGACGGAATTTACCAGATTTAGTTTTTTTGAGTACCTGATACGACGATAACTGTCACCTTCTCCGACGAGAGGAGGACATCGTCAAGTTGCTTCAGGATCATCTTATCTGCCTTATTCTTTTCATAGACGATTTTTCCATCCCAGCCACACTGTATCATGACACCTATACAATTTGCTTTTTTAACGCTTCTACTTATTATGTTGTCAAGGTTTGTTTTCAACGAAATAAAAATTGCCGATAACAGTTCAACGAAAGACTGACCTTTGATTCTAGTAGGAAGAGTGCTGCCGGCTTTCCATATTTTCAGGGTTTCTGAATCGCAGACCTTAGCAGCATGAATACACATGCTCTGTGAGCACCGGATGTTATCATCGAAACCACCACAAATGATTTTGATGCCGTATTCTTCCTGCAAATCAACTCCGTGGAGCGAAGCGATCTGGCGTAGATAATCCACACATCGTTCAAAGCTGGCACGTTTGGGGATCATACATCGTGCATTTTCCACATCCCAGAACAGTCTAACTGGTCGCTCACTAGGAGCACGAACAAACAACCATTTAATAAAAGTGATCAAACCGCAGCTCAAAATGGCAAGCCCGATAACCATGAAAAGCCGCTGCACAGGATTTTCTGCGGGATCATATTTTCGCCCCTGGTCCATTATGAATCGCAGCCAGGTTGTTGCGTATCGGAAGCACTACGTAGCCGTTAAAATAATGCAGTACTCTATCCAGATAATATTATATGGAGTGTGATATTGGACAAAATAAATACTTATATCAATGTGTTGGTGCCGTTAGGATGAGTTAGTGAGCATGCATCAGGTACTCTGGTTATAATATTGACAGGAGTGCGTCTGGTAAACAGAGAACCGGTTCCACAAATATTTTAATATTGTTCTGTATGTGTGTGTGTGTGGCTATGCGCTGTTTAGTCGCGTAGTGTCTGAAACTTTTTTGCACTGATGATGATTGAAATGATTACATAGAAAGAAGGCTCAAAGTTCCCTTTGCGTTAAACCTCTTTAATACAAGCTAATAATGTAAGTCGGAAGTGCTTCTGTAAAGGCAAGTTTGCACGTAGGCGCTGGCTCAAACCCAAGCAATGTTATAGCTGTCTCATCCTTAGCTACGACTACGAGTACGTATCAACTAACATGGGCTGGTTATTTTAACTTATTCTGTCTTAAAATGTTTGCATCGAGCGCAGCGAGATGCTGCAAGCCTTTGTCAAGAGCATAACATTTGTCCTGGCGCTCGTGCATTCATGTGGTTAACAACCACCACTAGTATAATCTGCCAAAAGTAATGATTCTGCCAAAAGTATTTTCCATTTAGTCGTGCGTATTTACTAGTACATACTCGTACAGTCGTACTGCAGATGTCTGATGTAGCTTCCTTTCACAACTTTCATGGCTACAGTGAGATTGTACCAGTGGCAGTATGGTAGAACTGCTTACAAATTAAATTAAGTAAAACTGCTTCGGTTTACGGTACTTGTGGTAAGTCTTATCGGCGGTAAGGTACAGATTTGGTGGTAACACCCAAACTTCCAAGCCGATAACGCTATGCGGGTGGAAATGTGTTTACCCACTACACTTCCTTTATTACTGGAGCGAATCACCGCCGTGTGTTCCACCCTTTACTATTTCTTCTAACAAAACAAAGAGAACTGGTGTTCGATGGTGTATGCAGTTTACCCATAAATCATAATGTATGCCCTGGTTTTCTGAGCCTATTTCAAAAGGGATACGAGTACCGGTTAAGTTAGCTTTATGTTTCTTAAACAGCTACTCACTACTTGGTAGAAAGAATTATGAGAAAAACCAAAAAAAATTCAAACATAAAAAAGCGCAGGATTAGTTAAGTAGGGTAGTGCGGAGACTCATGTGGTTGATTATGTAATTGAGGTAAGTAATATCGTGTAGGCAGGGACCCAGGTAAAGCCCGATAGTATCTGTAAATGATCTTCGTCTGTGAGTGGTGATGTTCTCAATATCCTAAAATAATTGTTTGCCTGATATTGCGGGATATTCAGTGCGAAATTTAAGTTGCGGAACTGGTACTGTACGAGTAAAATCTAAATAACGCTACGCTTGCTGACTGTGTGGTTCCGAATCAGTCTACTGTAGCAAAGATTTTGGAAATACATGTTTGGCGTTCATTTGCAATTTTGCAATATAAGTTTCAAAACAATAAAATCACTGATAGGCTCTGATGCAGCTGAATGGTATCCTAATCGAGTGAAGTACGACGATTGAATAAGATACGACTTATTGGATTAGCGGCATCAGGTCATCATTATAACTTTTGGGACTTTGGGAAGTGACTTAATCATTTTCGGCACTGGGCGATAACTGCATAATACTAATACCGACTATGGCCCGACTCGCCAGTTCAGGCTGCTTATAATTTGTATCATAAATCCGTATTTTTTCAACAATAATTTGTGTCAGCTGTTTACGCATGTTTTATGCTGGACTTCATGCAACACCAGACAAGGAATTCCGTTTGCCTATCAGACGAAAGCTGCACTGATATTAGTTAAAGAGTAATCATTACTCATTACTGTACTACGTTTGTTTCAGATTACTTTAATCACAAAATAAAAATGATAAGTCAACACGAAACAACATCTTGTCAGTAGAAAAACTTCTGTGAAGGCGTCTCACTGTGATTGTCGTTCGCATTCTTTATACTCAGTTTACTACACATTTATGCTGCAAGTACGTTACTATCAATTTTTACTAATAACTTGCCTGCCCTTGCCTAATAACTTAAAGGTGCTTAAATACTGGACAACAAGAAAAAACGCAAAATAGGCACCTGCCGGCAAACACCAACGAGGATTTACAAATCTGAGTTGCAATATACATAAATTGCCGAAATGACTGTCGCCTGTCGGTACCTGTACTCCTATTTAACATTACGAAATGTAGGCGACACAATTAAAAGCTTATGCTAACAGTATTTGCTAGGGTAAAGTGTGACACTGTTTCGAATAACCTACGCAGCACGCCACCATGACCAGGAGTCCGCAAACTTTTTAAGAAAATCTTTGCAGGTAGCTTCGTCAGGAAAGCGGACACGAACACATTCTTGCACCGTCAACTCTATGACGACAGCATCCCCCTCCGCAGAATCTTTGCGGATCTTATGCGGCCGTTCGATGACGAAAGTGCTTCCCATCACCTGCAGCTTTCCGGTCACTTCCTGGCACTGCTGTACCACGATAACGATACCCTGCTGGGAACACTGATTAGCGGTGATAATGCTTGGCTGATAGTGATTTTCCGGAATTTTATGGGAATTCTTAACGGCCAGCTGGTCCGAAACGAGAGCGACAAAAGAGGACGATGATGACCACGCTAACTTCGGAAGCGATCCCTCCGCTATAAACAAGCAATGCACTGTTAACGCTTGTGCGCCGCTAAGATTCTTACCCGGCAATACCGGTAAGTCCACGACATAAGTATAACCACGAAGAGCATACGTTTACAAACTGAAGTTTCTACTAACCGTCAGCTGTGGAAGGAAATGTATTAAGCATTTCTCGCTGTCGGGCGTCATATTCCTTCAGAAACGATTTATAAACGTTGCCGTTGGTGTCACCCGCAAAGAACCAGATAGTGCTCCAGCCAGCGCTTCCCTGATACGTAAATGGCACCTGCAGCGACAAATATGGGACGGCTTTCTGATCGCTTCTTTCGCGCTGTGGTATGTGACAGTGAATCCGCACATCCTTCCCAAGTATCATCCGCACGTACGCTAAGGGTTGCCCGTCGACGTTGCTTTCAAGATGAAGACAATGCACTTTACAGTTGTCCATCTTTTGAGAGGACAATCTCAGACAAAAAGAGGGAACGATGACGAGTTGTTTGGGCTTGCCCATGTACAGTTTGCCGAACAAGGGAACATCAGGAAGGTCACTGACGAAGATGTCCCGCGCCGGTTGTACAAGAACGTGGGCGCCTTGTTGCGGCAGCGTCTTCAGTACATTTTCCATATCGAATACCAGCCCCTCCTGTAGCCGGAAGAGTTGCTGGTGTTTGAGGGCATTCGCGTTATTTCCCACCAGACTGCTGGCAATCGCCGCACCAAACGCCTCCGCATCATCCACATAACTCGCCGCTCCGGCAATCACTTGGCTTTTCGTTACACCCTCCAGCTCAGTGCGTAAAGGCCCCAACCGAGAATTCTCGCCCACCAATAACAGCTCGATTTTCCCGTTAATATTTCCAGTGCTCGCGTCTATAATTCCGAACCGCGTCAACTCCGCCACGACATGCTTTCGAACGACTTCGATGACTGGCGCCACCGCGATATGGTACGCCTCCCTGGAATACGTCACGACCGACTTGTGGAATGGAACGCGGATGGTCACTTTGTCAGTTCGGGGATCGTTAAAGAGCGCTACGTGGTCCATGCACTCTTCTTTAAACTGGTCCCACGAACGTTGATCTAAATTAGACATCCCGGTGTTCGTCAGCTGCTGATGGATGCCGGCTATAACGCGCTTCTGCATTTGGGTGAAACAGGCAAACAAAACATATCGATTACCCTGAAATTTGACGATGTGGTTGTTGTTGATCACTTCGAAGACGTCTACGCGGCAGTGCTCAGAATCTGCATTGCACACCAAGAGATAAACCGGCTCAGTAGCGCTCGTGTTAATGGACTGTCTGTCCAGTGTCTGCACAGTGTAGGCCAGTAGAACAGCCGCTACGTCGGAAATGCACAGGACATCCGGTACGCCGTTCTTCCGCCAGGCGTCCATCACTGCTTGCCGCATCACTTGACTAGCGTCCAGAACATGCGACAGTACAATAACCACGCCACGGACACCTGGATTTCGCTCAGCTTCCCCAATCATTTTAATGTGAGCGAAGAGTCGTTCCAATAGCAAGGGTACCAGTATATTCTTTTCTCCGTAGCCGTAAGCCAGAAGCGTGCGTTTGACCGATGGGATGGTCCGATACTTTCTGTCAGTTTGGTAGCTGCCCGCGTCCACGCCGAAATACCATTCGGTGTTATCAGCACTGTAAGCCGCGACGGAAGGAAATCTGAACAGTTCACGCGGCACACCGTTCTCGTACAGCGCAACCGAGGTCTTCTTGAATCCAATGTCCACTCCTAACCGTAATCCGCTCATGGTTTCTAGAAAAGTAATTAATAATCTACATTTGACTGAACATAAACACGTGCTAGTCAGTTAGCGCGCACTGCATTGCCAATTTTTCCTAACTTATAATGGTGTAAGTTGTGACTACCTGTAGCAAGTAGTGAAGTATCGGTATTGAGTCTATTGACCATATCCCATAGAAATCAAGTTTACTGTGGTCCTGCGCGTAAGCACTGGCAACAAGTACGCTGTATACGATCGCGCGTCGAATAGTTCTATGAATATTTTAGTTACCAGTTTACTGAAAATACTAAAATTTAGGTAACAGTGAACAGTAAACAATTGTTCGTTTACTGTAACGAGTTCACAATACCGGATTATTAATAGCTCTTACCACGCGTACGAGTATTGTACATATGTACTAAAGTTTTGCACTTCTCTGCTTCTTAACTGCGGAGAGCAGACGCAAAAAAGTTAACCAAATGTAACACAACATAACAAAACATAAACTGTTTATTTACTGGCTGGTGGCAGAACTATTATAAGTATCTCGTTTATTCACCTTGAGCATAATGGACAGCGCCACAAAAACACAATCAAAAAGATAACTATTTACTGTTTATCTATTACAAAGTATAATTACAAAGAACTATCTACAGAGTACCTACCGTCGCTGCGGGATAGCAATATCGAGGAATAAATTATAAATCCGAAAATTGTGCTGTATCAACAGATAAAAGGTAGAGATGACGTTTATAGTGCTAATTTACAGTACATAGTGCATAACTGTATCCAGGGCAAACTGCATATATGCAGATAAGTAATAAGGTACGAGCCTACGAGAAATGAGCTAAATCACCATGAAAAACCTGGAATGACGCAGTTTGCAAAGATCAAGGTAACTTCACTTGATCAAGGTATGTTAAGTGAAGATACCTTGCAAAGATGTAACCACCCACACAAGAAAGCCTTCGACAAGAGGGTTCCACCTATTCTTGACAAAGACAGCCAATAGTAACCCGTTTTAAGCCTCTATCCGCTGCACGCATTGTTGTTTCTTTGTTAGCTGCTCTTCTGCTGATCCAGTTCCATTGGTTTTGCACGCTGCACGCTACATCGAGCTATGTAGCTTCCGATCGCATTATTTTGGAATTTTGTATTCGGGATCGAGTTCACGCACTTTTTAACGGCCGGTACTGTAATATACACAGTATATAGCTGAGTTTTACCGTATGTACTTAACTTTGATACTTCCTCTCCGATTACAAATTCACAAGTATATCAGTCCAGCACCGCACACAATTGTCTTTTGACTCCTTTCCGCTCGTTAATTACGATCCTGTAACATGGCTGACGGAGTAGGCATCGATTTGGGCACAACACATTGTTGCCTGTTCGTGTACAAGCACGGCCGCAGTCCGCAAGTGATTAAGAACAACAACGGCGACACCACCACGCCGTCCTGGGTGCGTTTGGAGCGGGACGGGATGGATGTGGGCAAACACGCCAAGCGACTCAGTCCCGAGAATAGCCGGAATACCATTCGTAATGCTAAGCGTCTAATTGGACGCCGTTTCGACGATTCCGCCGTGACAATGGAACGCAGTCTAATGCCGTTTGCCATTGTTAACGACAACGGGTCACCAGCGATAAAGGTGGGTGCATCTGCATCTAAATAAGTACTTATCGCTAATCACTAATGAATATTGGTTATGAATCCATAAGTTTTAAATTTCTGATTATCTAGGCTAATCGATAAACCTAATTATTAAAAATTTAACACCTAATTTAATGGAAAATTACATCTTAATTCTTAACTGGCAAACTGCAAACGCAACTAAAGCAACGTAAACAAGCTACGTAGACTCGTAGAGGCATTTCTGACAGACTCGCTGTAAAAAAAGATTTTGGCTTTATTAAAACCTGAATCAATCACAACTTGTTATTTTAATAAGTTTAAGTCAAAATACACTATTATACAGTACTCCTTTCCCATTAGATTCGTTTCTGCCAGCGGGTGCTCTACTAAATACAAATGTTTGTACTGACTACAAATCTTACGTGAGCAAAGGTTCTTATTAATCTTATAATCTTGTAGGTTGAACAGTGCACAGATGCGGGCGATATCATTTGGGAAAAGATCGTTCGGCCGGAGCAGATCAGCGCCACGATGATGTCGTATTTGAAAGAGATGGCCGAGGGGTTTCTGGGCAGGAAAGTGACATCTGCCGTGGTGACCATTCCGGCCAATTTCATGGAGACTCAGCGCGCTGCCACTCTCAACGCCGCCCGCCTGGCAGGGTTCACGGAGGTCAACTTGTTGAACGAGCCGACGGCCGCCGCCATCGCTTACGGCGGCGTCATCGACGAGCAGTGCACCATTCTGGTGTTTGATTTCGGCGGCGGCACGCTGGACATCAGCATTATGAAGGTGGATGGCCGCAATGAATATCGCGTCCTCAGCACCGACGGCGACATGTATTTGGGCGGGGAGAACTTCGACAGCGAGATTGTTCAGCATTTCTTAGACGACATTCGCCGCCGCCACCAGGTCGATCTGGCACAAGATAGCAAAACCTTAGCCAAACTGAAACTGGTCGCCGAAAAGGCTAAGATCACGCTGTCCAGTCCGTATAGCGGCACATTCCGCGATACCTTGCACAAACTGTATGGAAACATCGATTACAACGTGGAGCTGACAAAAGCTACTTTCAGCGGAATGTTCCGGGATCTTCTCCAGAAGATTCTCGTCCCGGTGAAGAACGCTCTGGATGCTGCGAGCCTGTCACCGGGCGATATCGATAAGGTCATCTTGGTGGGTGGCAGCAGTCGGCTGCCGGTGGTTAAAGAGACACTGCAGGCGTTCTTCGGTCGGAGCGGAGTGGTTTGCGCGGATGCTGATCCGGATGAGGCGATAGCGCGGGGGGCTGCCATGCAGTCGTACCGTATTAACAACCAGCAGGCCACCAACGTCCACGAGGTCACCGCCTACCACTATGGACTGGAAGTTGCGGACCGTGTGCGACCTGGCAGTATGCGCATCCGTGACTTGATCCCCCGAGGAAAAGCATATCCTTCCAGTATGACGGAAGTCTTTGGGACATTCTATGATAATCAAGCGGCTGCTAAGTTCAGCATTTATCAGAGTAAACGCGGGTTTAATCTGGACAAATTCCGTATTGGTGAATTTGTCATTCCTGGTTTACCTTTGCGGAAGGCGGGAGAGTGCAAGTTTGACGTGACATACAGCATCGATGGGAACAATATTCTGCACGCGGCGGCACAGGGTAAAGGCGACATTGCCCACTACAAGAAAAATATCGACATCCGCCTGGATAATGTCGTTTGACGATTGCCAATCGACCGGTTAACGGTTAACCAGTACGAAAATTTTTGTCTTGTTTCTTTTGTGCATGGAATGCGAACGCTGGGCAGGGGGCACACAGATGTGTCAATCGTTATCTAGTAATACACTAATTTTGTTTTCTTATGGTTGTCATTGTTTCTCGTTTTTTTCTTGAATTGTTAAAATTATTACATGTATACAACTCTGATTCCTTTGATCACTCTCCACACCACACTATTGGGCCGTTGGCCCCTGGATTATGGACGTTCTAATTTATTCAGTGCAGTGTTAAAGGTGCAGGTTACAGATACTGTGCTGTCTGTATTAAAGTATGTTTGAGTAAAAGTATTAGTACTTAAATAAGTACAAATCACACGTACAGGTAAATATTACTGGGAAGAAACAGTTACGCAGTTTATATGTTAACCGCATTTAAAAATGCCGCTTTCGTATCACAGCTATTCAATTTTTCGGTAACAACTCACTAACAAGTCACAGCCTACACGATTGCCAAAAGATGTGAAAGGTGACATAAACACAGTCTTGCGGAGCCAATTCAATGACGACTGTATCTTCTTTCGTGGGTTTTATTGGGACGTTCGACTGCAAATGTATTTCGCGTCAGTCGCCGCTGCCCGGTTGCTTACGGGCACTGTTCATCACAATAACCACGCCCTGCGTGAATGAGTTATTGACAGTAACCACGAGTAGGCACTGCTTACGCAATGCTGGACAGTGGACACACTAAGAATACAAGCTACGAAAGCTCGTACTGAATTAAACGTTTTGTACAGAAAAGTAAGACAATCCATCCAGATTCGGCAAGCAGTTTTCAAGAGGAAATTGCTTAGTGTTACGCTGCCAACTGCTAAGGAACAAAACCAACGGACAACGGCAATAAATTTGTGTACCATATCAAACTGACCGAAGCCTCCGAAGGAGGCAGTAGTTAAACTGTAAAAGGTATATTTACGTACTTACTCGTTAAACGAAGTCATCTTAACATGCGTACCCAGCTCATTATCCCTGCCCTTCGCATCGGCCCTGCCTAGACAGGCTGACAGCACAGTACACAGTAGAGGCACACCCACGGTTTTTGAGAGCAACCCGCACCGTAAATCGCTCGCTTTGTTTTCCAGCGAACTACCGCTGGTGGTCACTTGTCGCCAATAGGGTGTACAAGTCAGAGATGTTAGTACTTACTACATAGTACATGTACATATGTATAGGATTACCGAGCAGATAACTTCTACAGATAATGTGTTTAAATACTTTATTTCCCATAACATATACGTTGTGCGTTTTATTATTCGCTAGATTTTTACGGTACTTATTTATCGCGTACCGCGCAATATGTGTTTGGCTATCTGCGCACTGGATGTCTGGACAGACACACCATTCACTTCCGGTGTTCCATTGTTCGCACTTCGCAGAGGCGGTTTTCTTCGGGGCGATGCGTGCCAGGGCAGCGGTGTATGTGATGCCATCATGCCAGTCTTCTTCACGCTTGAGCGATATTATTGCTTTCCAATTTCGCACGTGCTGTGTTTACCGCTCACCATCAGCCTATTGTACACAGTGTCCAGTGTCCACGGTTCGTTGAGCTGATGTGAATGTTTAAATGGTTGCCTGCTCGTGCAGTATCTTTTAATTTGCGCACACTTCCTTTATGGTCGGTCAGAAAAACTCATTCGGTTGACCAATTGCGGTACTCGTGCAGCAGTAATGTGAAGCGAGGCTTATTTGACACACGCAAACGCAGTAAAACAATTCACGTAATAAAACATCCTTCTCCTACCAGGCGGAAAGAGACCGCCTTCGACTGGATCGATCTTGCCAGCCACACCGGATTCTCGGAGTTGCTGGATGAAAAATGATTTTCTGCATGTATCGAATGCCGCGGCCATGGCCGCGCGACCACGCAGAATTCGATTTTCTGGAACAATTCTACTTAATGTACATAATAGTTAAAACAATACGGCACACAAATTGCAGTACTTACCGGTCTAACCACACTAGAGCAATATGTTACCAATAAAGCTTATGTGACTTTGATTGTAACCAAAGAAACTGTCGCCATTAAACTGCGCTGTGTCAGTGGAGAACCGAACGCTGAAAGCCCGCCTGGATGAGCAACCGCAAGTTGCCGATTCTAAGAGCTTATAACAATTTAAAAGCCGGAAACGATATTTTCGATTTGCTTGCCGACCTTAATTGGGAATGATGATTACCATCGCTTACTGAAAATATCTTGGTTTGCAATTTAGGACAAGTTCTGAGCAGCAGAAAATGTAGACCTAAACAAGAGTTTTCAAATCTACCTAAATAGCTACCTGCCGAAAACACAAGAGGCAAAAATCCAAACTGCAGTCTGCAGAAGCAACTATCGGAGTTATTTGTCATGCTTCACCATTAAGTAGTAAAAAGACAGTTACGTAGTTATGTTAGCGGTATTCACTATATATGACTACTCATGTCACATACACTTCGATTTTTCGATAACCGGTCACGGTTTGCCCAACGGCCAAAAGACAGAACACTTTTTAAGAAAATCCCGGCGGGTAGCTTCCCTGGGAAAGTTGACACGAACACAATCGTGTGACGTTAACTCAATGACGACTGTATCGTGCTCCACGGAACATTCACGGATTTTATTCGGCCGTTCGATCGCAAACGTGTTTCCCCTCATTTGCATTTTGGTCACTTCCTGGCACTGTTGGACCACAACAACCAGGCCATGCTGTGAATCTTGATTGACGGTAACAATGCTCGGACGTTTCTGAATTTTATTTATTTCCTGAAACTCCGCGGTAGGCAGCTGGTCCGACACAAGCGCGACAAACGAAGACGATGATGACCACGCTAGCTTAGGAAGCGATTCGTCCGCTGGAAGCGATCAGAACACGGCTCAATCGTATGCTATTGCTAACCTTTCTTGGCACAACGTATCTTTAAATTTCTACTAAAAGGTTACGTACATACCGTTATTTCCAGAAGGAAACGCTTTCAGCATTTCGCGTCGTCGCGTGTGGTATTCCGCCATAAAAGGCTCATAAGCGCTGGCGTCATCCGCAAAAAACCAAAGACTGCTCCGGCCCGCGCTGTCCTGATACGTAAATGACACCTGTATCCGTAAACATTCAACGACCATCTCATCCGGTTCTTCACGCTGTAGTTCGCGACACTGAATGCGTACATCCTTGCCCAGCAACATTCGCATATACGTCATCGTTTGTCCATCAACGCTGGTTTCCAGGTGTACACAGTGCGCTTTGCAGCTTCGGATCTTCTGAGTGGACAACACGAGACGAAAATCGGGAATTATGACAGGCCCTTTCCCGTTTCCCATGTACAAGTACCCGGACAGGGCCACATTCTTATGGTCGTTAACGAGGATATCCCGCGCCGGTTGCACGCGAATGTTGTCGTCCAATAACGGCAGCGCCGTCAGTATCTTTCCCACATCGAATGCGAGTCCTTCTTGCAGTCGAAAGAGCTGGTGTTGTCCGTATAAATTCCCGCTATTTCCAGCCAGACTGCTGGCAATCGCCGCACCGAACGCTTCCGCATCGTCCACATAACTCGCCGCTCCGGCAATCACCTGGCTCTTCGTTACCCCCTCCAACGCGGTGCGCAATAACCCTAACCGGGAATTTTCGCCAACCACTAGCAACTCAACTTTCCCGCCGACGTTTCCGCTGCTCCCGTCCATTATACCAAAGTTCACTAACTCCGCCGCGACATGTTTTCGGATGGCTTCGATGATTGGCTTTACCACCGCCTGGTAATCCTCCCGCGTGTACGTCACGATACAGTTCGGGACAGGGGCGCGAATGATCACTCTAACGGTTCGGGAATCGTTAAATAACGCCATGTGGTCCCCGCACTCCTCTCCTAGTTGCGTCCGTAAATGCAGATCCAGTGCAGGCATCCCAACGCTCTCCAAGCGCTGATGGATATCATCAAAAACGCGCCACCGCAGTTCAGTGAAACAGTCCCACACAACATACTGGTTGCTTTTGTATTTGACGACGAGGTTGTTGTTGATCACTTCGAAGACGCCCATCCGGAAATGCTCCGCATCTGCATTGCACACCAACACATTAACCGGCTCTATCCCGCTCTTCTTTATGGACTGCCGGTCCAGCGTCTGCACCGTGTACGCCAGTACAATGGCTGATATATCGGAGATACACAGGACATCGGTTAAGTCGTTTTTTTGCCAGGCTTCCGTCACCGCTTGATAGATATTTTGGCAGGCGTGTAGGCCATGAGAGAGAACGACAACAACGCCTTGGAGACACTGCTTCCGTTCGGTTTGACCAATCATCTTAATGAAGGCGAAGAGCTTCTCCAGCAGCAGCGGCACAAACGGATTCTGCTCACCGTAGCCGTAAGCCAGCAGCGTGCCTTTAACCGAGGGGAAATTGCGGTATCTGTTGTCAGCTTTGTAGTTGCGCGCGTCCACGCCGAAGTGCCATTCGGTGCGATCAACACTACAAGCCGCGATGGAAGGAAAGCTGAACAACACCCGCGGCACACCGCTCTCGTACAGCGCAATAGTAATCTTCTTGAATCCAATTTCCACTCCCAACCGTAATCCGGTCATTTTTCTGAAAAAGAACGAAACTCGAGCGAGATCTAACTTTAGCGAGCTGCTAAAAAGCGTGCAATTAGTTACGTAATATACAACAGGCACTTGAGTAAAGTTTCTTCCTTTTTCGAGTTTAGTTTAGTTTCTTCCTTTAGCAAATTAGCAGGATGACGTTTAAAAAGTCTTACGTCATAACTCATAAGTCCTGGGTCACTCCGACTCACTCGCATCAATAAGCGATGGAAGGATACAAAGAATTGCAGTACAAGTATTACTTCTTTTCTCAATGAATTTATGCATAAGAACTACCGCATTATTTCAATTTGACACTTTATATGAACAGTAAAATTACTACTGTACCAACACTCTGTGCAGTGTGTACACAAAACGGGTCGCCAAGATCGCCACAGCTGCGTTTCCGCAACTTGCAAACTGCAGAGTACATACAGTACTGTACTTGTATGAGAACAACGAACAACGGTACACAGTGACCGTACACTTTTGTCCACCTCCACTGCCCACAGCATAGATCCTGACTTCCGACTCCACACCGCCAGGCGCAGCCAGCCAATGGGAGACGCTTTAACTGAGGTCACTTTACGTACATACGTACGGCCCCACCCCGGCGCATAGGCCAAAACAAACGGTTTCAGGCTGTACCGCTCTGATGTTCAGAGACAGCCGCACGCTTTGTGTCTTTGTTAGCCGCTTTCTGAACAGCTCCGATTGTTGGCGCTGTACGTTCCCTAGAGCGGCAGTAAAGAGTTCTCACCTTTCTTCTCAATCCACATGTCGCGCTACCTCAGTTAATCTACCCTGTGACATTTGCCCGTAAACGTGATTAAAATTAATGGTGTTCGCAGTTATTCGATTTTGCACTGGAAGTACATGAAAGTTAATTAAAGTGTTGTGACCCAGCATACAGCATAGAATTGTTTTAGTGTGTTGTTAAATTTCAAATCGAATAACATGGCAGATGGAGTAGGCATCGATTTAGGCACTACGCATTGTTGTCTATTTGTGTACAAACATGGTCGCAATCCGCAAGTGGTTAAGAACAGAGCCGGCGACACCACCACGCCGTCTTGGGTCCGCCTGGAGCGGGATGGGATAGATGTGGGCAAACAAGCCAAGCGACAGAGTCCGGACCACAGCCGCAACACTGTTCGGAATGCGAAGCGCCTCATTGGGCGCAGCTTCGATGATGCCGCCGTGACCATGGAGCGTAGCCTGATGCCCTTTTCAATTATTAACGACAACGGATCCCCTGGGATTCGGGTAAGAGTTTAAAATTAAGAAAGATAGGTAAGTATGCCATAGGCAATAGCTAACGCAAATGTGTTTAATGACTACCTGAATGTCGTTAATTTTGATGGACTTTTACTTTACCAAACCACTCAAATCTTTACGTTTTACCATTTAAATGATATAATCGCATGATTACTTTAATGAAGCTATAAGTTATGTAAATTAATGAATGATTCCAAAATTGGGTCTACCAGTAATTTTTTCTGTGAATGAAAGCAAGTCATGGCAAGTACTAAGTAGCAACAACACGGTACTATTTTGATAAATTTAAATTTGCGCGTTTGCGCTTCATTTCGTTACGAATTAATGGAGATTATTATTGCTGGATCGTGTAACAGCCTAGTGCTTCGTCGTTCTTGTGGATCTTGTCATGGTTAGAAAAACGAAATTATCGCTTAGGTCGTGTATGTTAAACGCAACTGTCTTGCAGGTGGAACAATACAATGAAAGCGGTGAGGTCATTTGGGCGAAGTTGACCCGTCCGGAAGAGATCAGCGCCAAGATGCTGGCGTATCTGAAGGAGATGGCTGAAACATTCCTGGGCAATGAAGTGACCACGGCGGTGGTGACGATTCCGGCCAATTTTATAGAGACCCAACGCTCCGCCACGCTGACTGCCGCCCGCCTGGCCGGCTTCACCGAGGTCAGTCTGCTGAACGAACCGACAGCCGCCGCAATTGCTTACGGCGGCGTGGTGGACGAGCAGTGCACCATTCTGGTGTTCGATTTCGGCGGTGGCACGCTGGACATCAGCATTATGAAGGTGGAGGGCCGCAATGAATATCGTGTCCTCAGCACCGACGGCGACATGTACTTGGGCGGGGAGAACTTCGATGTCGAGATTGTCCAGCATTTTCTGGAGGACATTCGCCGCCGCCACAACATCGATTTGGCAAAAGATAGCAAATCCCTTGCGAAACTGAAACTGGTTGCCGAAGAGGCCAAGATCGCGCTGTCCAGTCCGTACACACCCATATATCGGGATACTGTATACAAACTGCATGGAGAGTTCGACTACAACGTGGAGTTGACGAAAGCGACCTTTAACGGGATGTTCGGCTTTCTGCTCGAGGAGATCCTGGTCCCCCTGAAGAACGCCCTGGAAGCCGCTAAGCTGTCACCTGAGGAGATCGATAAGGTCATACTGGTGGGCGGGAGCAGTCGGCTGCCGGCGGTCAAGGAGGCGCTGCAGGCGTTTTTCGGCCGAGAAGGAGTTGTATGCGCGGATGCCGATCCGGACGAGGCTATTGCTCGGGGCGCCGCCATGCAGTCCTATCGCATCAATAATCGGCAGGCGGCGAACGTCCAGGAGGTCACAGCCTACCATTACGGGCTGAAAGTTGTAGAGGATTTGCAAGTGGGCAGCACGCGTATCCGCGAATTGATTCCCCGCGGGAAAGTGTATCCTACAAGTGTTACGAAAGCTTTCGTCACAGCTTACGATAATCAAGATGAAGTGGACTTCGAAGTGTACCAGAGTAAACGCGGATTCAGTCTGGACAAGTTTCGTATTGGCCATTTTGTTATTCCTGATCTGCCGCTGCGGAAGGCGGGAGAATGCATGTTTGATGTGACGTACAGCATCGATGGGAATAACATCTTGCACGCAACGGCGGAAGGGAAAGACGAAATAGCCCACTACAAAAAGAACATCGAAATCCGCCTGGATAATGTCGTTTAATGGTTGCGAATTGACGAGTTAACCAATAGGTTTTATCTTATTTCTTTTGCTGCACGGACATTGAGCCTGGGCACATACTGTAACTGCGTATGTATAATGGAATCAATTACTTTTTTTCTACGAACGTCCGTTATTTTAAGTTTTCTCGTGTTTCGGATATTTCCTGTTTAGTTGCTTAAGTATGTCTTAGTTTACTCGCTGCTTAATAAATTGCGAAAAGCATTATCTTGTCGCAAATCCTGGAGCGTCGTACGTGATAGCACGATGAGCACATGCACCAGAAGTGGTACTAAGTAGTACATAATAATTATTGTCTTTGCACGCTCTGTTGGTTGCAAAGTATAAAAGGTTTTTAGCAAACTTTCAAGCGGTTTAAGACTGTACAAGATATAAGCATGGTATGAGGATTGTGCTACGAGTTTAATCAACTGTTTTATACTCGGTCTGGCAACATGCATGATCTTTGTTCTGTAATCACGCAATACGTGATTATGTACTGTATTCATTTGAACGTTTTTTTGTGAGCGAGGCTTGTCTCTGTTGACTCTGCAAATATAATAATTATATTAAAATATGTTGATATTAACCAGCGCTAATTTAATTGGGCAGTAAAATCGCGAAAACGTTGCTACTTATCAGGCAGTATTGCACTGAAACGGCAGAAATGCCGGCATATCTGCTCCAGCATGCGACTATTTTGACAGTTTTTTTTATTTATTTTGACCTTATGGCTTATAATTATAATCGTTGGGATCGAGTGAATTATAAACCATTTTCGGCGCTGTCCGATGTTTTTATTACCTGTTGCCGACTTAAAGCCAGTGCACATCTCTACTTGGACAAGTGATCGCTGACGTAACACTTATGGCATATTCGAAGCGAAACTGTCAAATAATGTAATCACTCTCATGCCATATAATGGTTTCATATTTATATTCATACCAGATAAAAGCATTGGAATTTGGAATCAAACTAAATAAAAGCATACAATCAAAATACCTGTCGGGAAGCAAAAGACAACAAAATTGAATCCAATGCACTAACGCTGGACTGGCAGTTCGTATTTCTTGCCACACAAAATAAAACAAAATACACAATTCTGCACTGTAGGCCTGTTATGATAAGCGGCAAATTATTCGCACATTAGTAAGAAAGTGAAAGTACAATTATTCGTTTCGAAAAGAAGATCCGCACAATTATAGTAGCAGTACTGAGTTTTTGCTTATCTACCCAAAGCCTTTCGATACCTTGGCCGGTCATATTACGAGATATAAGAAACCGGACACTTTTTTAAAAAATCCCAGCTGGTGGTTTCATTGGGAAAGCTGACACGAACGCAATCTTGCGGAGTCAATTCAATGATAACTGTATCGCGTTCCACAGGTTCTTTGCGAATCTTGTACGGCCGTTCGATTACAAAAGTGTTTCCCATCACTTGCAGCTTTTCGGTCACTTCCTGGCACTGCTGGACCACGACAACGAATTCCTGCTTGGAGAAGCCATTAACGGTAACAATGCTGGGATGCTGCTGATTTTTATGAATTTCATGGGACTGTTTGGTAGGCCACTGGTCTGAGACAAGAGCGACAAACGAGGACACTGATGACCACGGTAGCTTAGGAAGTGATTCGCCCGCTAGAAAAACAACCAGCGCAAAACTTATTATGGTAATATATCATAATTATACGTGTTTTACTTCGACTACAGCCAAGGTACAGTAACGGCATTTTCCTAGATTTTCTGTCACATAAATTTGGTTTTGGCATTCAAATTTGATTAATTTGTTAAAAAGCGGAATTTATGAGCTTACTAATGAACGCACGCACATACACTGAGAACGCACTAAAAGAACACATACGACAAATTTTCAAAGTTGCCATAAGTTTAGCAGCCTACACTCTGCAAACAGGTATACCACCGACCACGTAATCCGAAATGATGGTGTATCGTTATTCGCTATTACTCTACCAGTAAACAGCCCTTCGTTCAAGAATTTCCTATATAGAATGCATACGTACCGCCATCTGCAGAAGGAAATGCGTTCAGCATCTCCCCATTCCGCGCGTCGTACTCTTCCATAAACGGCTTGTAATCGCTGGCGTCATCCACAAGAAAAACAAGTTGACTTGATCCAGTATTCTCCTGATACATAAACGACGCCTCTAGCCACAGTAATTGGCAATCAATGAGTCGTTGACCGTTTCTATAGCGCGTTAGCTTTTTTAGCTGAATCCGCAAATCCTTTCCCAGCAACATCCGCATGAACGTCACCGACTGACCGTTAACGCTGCTTTCCAGATCGATGCAATGCACTTTGCAGTCATCTATTTTCGGAGTACACAGTACCAAGCGAAATGAGGCAATATCAACGAGCGCTCTTGGGTTGCCAACGTACAAGTAGCCGGAAAGAGAAACATCGCGGCGGTCGCTGATGAAGATATCCCGTGCCGGTTGAACCACAATGCTGGTCTCCTGCACCGGCAGCGCTTTCATGATCTTTTCCATGTCGAATACGCGTCCCTCTTCCAGTCGAAACAACAAATGCTGCCTGTGGATATTCGCACTGTTTCCCGCCAGACTGCTGGCTATCGCTGCTCCAAACGCCTCCGCATCGTCCACATAACTCGCCGCTCCGGCAATCACCTGGCTCTTCGTTACACCTTCCAGCGCAGTGCGCAGTAACCCTAACCGGGAATTCTCGCCGACCACTAACAGCTCAACTTTCCCGTTGATATTTCCGTTGTTCGCGTCCATTATACCAAATCTCGTCAAATCTGCCACGACATACTTTCGGGCGGCTTCGATGACTGGCTCAATCTCCGCGTAATATGCCTGCCGCTGATACACCACGGCATCCTTGTGGAACGGAGAGCGAATGGTCACTTTTTCGGTTCGGTGATCGTTAAATAACGCCACCTGGTCCCAACAGTCTTCCCGCAGCTGCGCCAACGAGCGGTCATCTAATGGGGACATGCCGATATTTTTCAGCTTCTGGTGGATCGCATCTGCCACGCGCCGGCGCATTTCAACGAAAAAATTAACCAGAACATGCTGGCTGCTCTGACATTTGACGACATGGTTGTTGCTGATCACAGCGAAGACATCCATCCGGAAATGGTCAGAATCGGCATTGCACACCAACAGAAAAAGCGGCTCAGTGGCGCTCGTTTGAAACGATTGTCGGTCCAACGTCTGTACGGTAAACGCCAGCAGAATGGCTGATGGGTCGGAGATGCACAGGACATCGAGTACGCCAATCGTCTGCCAGGCACCCACCACCGCTTGCCGAATAACGTGGATGGAATCCAGATTATGCGACAAAACGAAAACGATGCCACGGATACACTGCTTGCGTTCGGCTTGCGCAATCATCCTGATACGCGCGAACAGATTTTCCAACATAAATGGAATAGATGGATTTTGCTCACCGTAGCCATAAGCCAGCAGCGTGTCTTTCACCGAGGGGAAGAAACAGTATCTGGTATCAGCTTTGTAGTTGCGCGCGTCCACGCCGAAGTGCCATTCGGTGCGATCAATACTACAGGCCGCGATGGAAGGAAAACTGGACATTACACGCGGCACACCGTTCTCGTACAGCGCAATAGTTATCTTCTTGAACCCGATTTCCACTCCCAACCGCAACTCGCTCATTTTCTGGAAAAATATCGAGCAGAATTTAACGATGATATGTTAACTTAACGGGCGGACGTAAGCGGTACAGAAAAAAAGGGCACTGGTACGGTGATCTTATTACAAAGTACACGATGGTAGTATTATAATTAAGTCGATCAATTTAGCTTAATACAAGATCGTTCAAAACTGTAGTAACAAATATCGTCCTCGTTTATAAGTGACGTTGTACCAGAACGCGGATACCATCTGTGTACCGTAAAATAATATCAGAATGCGGATTGTAAACTACGACCGGTGTGCTAAGCCACTTCACTGTTTCCAGTAACTAATTAGGGTACATACCTCTGTGTAGTTCGAATTGATTGTGCGAAAATTAAAATATTCAAAGTTGGTAATTCCAGCCACAGGATATAACTCGAAGTGTCAAACCTGGTAAAATTACAACAACAAATTCTGGGATATGATACAGTAATTATGACCACAGATCATTTCGTAAATTCGTAGCCTGCAGTTTCACGGATTACCGCAACTACCGTAAATCGAACTGTATGCTGGAAGTACTAGTACGGCAGCAGCCAGATGAGTTAGTCCTCGTAGCCAATGGTAATGCTTCAATTAAGGTCACTTTTACGTACTTGCGGTGCATGACCTCCTTCCCGTGCATCAAAAAGACGGTTTCTGAACGAAACGCTACCTTTGATGGTCACAGCCGAACGCTTTGTGTCATGTCTTTCTGTGCCGCTTTCTGGAAAGTTCGTATTGTTCACGCTCCACCTGTTCTATCGTTGCATACTGCATTTCGTACTCTGTTAAAGAGTCTGTTTGGTCTGTTACAGTTACAGTAGTGCTCTCCAAGCTGTTGAGCGATCTCATAGTAGTGAGTTTCTGAATTTCATGCACCGCATTTCGCACTTTAAATGGTGTAACGCATATTTTACGTGATTCTCTACTCTCCGGACTTCGAAGAATTTGCTATTTCGCGTTGCTTAGCTCGATCTTACACCGAATGCCATGGCAGATGGAGTAGGCATTGATCTGGGCACAACACACTGTTGCCTGTTCGTGTACAAACACGGTCGTAGTCCTCAGGTTATTAAGAACCAAGCCGGCGATACAACCACACCGTCCTGGGTGCGCTTGGAAAAAGACGGGATGGATGTGGGCAAACACGCCAAGCGACTGAGTCCGGAAAGCAGCCGCAATACTGTCCGTAATGCTAAGCGTATCATCGGACGCAGCTTCGACGATCCCGCGGTGACGACGGAACGCAATTTGATGCCCTTTGCAATTATCAGCGACCGAGGAACTCCTGCGATACGGGTAAGTATCAGGAATGCAGTACGTGGATAAGGACGTCTATAAAAAAAATACCTCATTACCGGTACATCACTTTTTCGCCAAAACAAGAGTGATATGCCGCAAAGGGGTGTTTTTACTGTTTACGTATAACAGAAGAATTCTCAAATCGGCAACGCTTTAACTTGTGGAAAACTTAGAAATAACTGGAACTGTAGTCGCTGCATTAATTATACTATCGAAATTGCATACCACTAAGCAAACGTTTAAACGGTAAGTTACCGTAAGTTGTAAGTAAGCATTTTTCGCTTTGCCACTCTTACCTTGGCCGACACTGACAGTGACAGTTTAATTTAAGTACTCCTGTTTTGTAGGTGGATCAGTGCAGTGAGGCGGGTGAAGTCATTTGGCAAAAGGTTATCCGTCCGGAAGAGATCAGCGCCAAGATGCTGGCGTATTTGAAAGAGATGGCTGAAGGATTCCTGGGCAACGAAGTGACCACAGCGGTGGTGACAATTCCTGCTAATTTCATGGAGACCCAACGCGCCGCCACGCTGACCGCCGCCCGCCTGGCCGGCTTCAAAGACGTCAGCCTGTTGAACGAACCGACGGCGGCCGCAATCGCTTACGGCGGCGTGGTGGACGAGCAGTGCACGATTCTGGTGTTCGACTTCGGCGGCGGTACTCTGGACATCAGCATTATGAAGGTGGAGGGCCGCAACGAGTACCGCGTCCTCAGCACAGACGGCGACATGTATTTGGGCGGGGAGAACTTCGACAGCGAAATTGTTCAGCATTTCCTAGACGATATTCACTGCCGCCACAACATCGATTTGGCAAACGATAGCAAAGCCCTTGCGAAACTGAAACTGGTCGCCGAAGCAGCCAAAATTGCGTTGTCCAATCCGTACACCAGCACTTACAGGGAAACAGTGCATAACCTGCGCGATAACTTCGATTACGACATGGTGCTGACAAAGGCGACCTTCAGCGGAATGTTTCGCGGCCTGCTCGAGAAGATCCTGGTTCCGGTAAAGAACGCCCTGGAAGCCGGTAACTTGACCCCGGGCGATATCGATAAGGTCATCTTGGTGGGCGGCAGCAGTCGGCTGCCGGTGGTTAAGGAGAAGCTGCAAGCGTTTTTCGATCGAGAAGGAGTCGTGTGCGTAGATGCCGATCCGGATGAGGCGATTGCACGGGGTGCCTCTATGCAGTCATACCGTATCAACAACCGACAGGCCACGAACATCCAGGAGGTCACAGCTTACCACTACGGACTGGAAGTTGTGGATGATTTGCTGCTGGGCACTACGCGTATCATGAGCTTAATTCCCCGGGGAACAGCGTATCCTACGAGCGTTACGAAAGCTACCGTTACAGCCCGCGATTATCAGCCTGCCTCAAAGTTCGATGTTTATCAGAGTAAGCGTGGATTCCATATCGACAAATTCCGCATTGGTGGGTTTGTCATTCCGGATCTGCCTCTGCGGAAGGCCGGCGAGTGCCAGTTTAATGTGACGTACAGCATTGATCGGAACAACATTTTGCACGCTGCGGCCCAAGGCAAAGGTCATGTTGCCCATTACCAGTAGAACATCGACATCCGCTTGGATAATGTTGTGTAATGCTTGCGAATCGTTCTGTTACTAATCCGTTTGCTGTATTTAAAGGAAACTCGGTAAATAGCCGTGTCACCAAATTTTGTTTTTGGTTTAATTATTGAATATTGCCGTGTTTTCCGTACTTTTTCTTATTTGTTGCTTAAATGCTTACTTTAATCGTATTGTAATAGCGAAGTTTTTGTCTCAAGCAGCGTTTTCGGCGCTGTGAAGCACAGGCATAAAGAAATATGAATGCACGGGTCATAGATATGAATGTAAAATTATTCATTGCATACTGCCTATAACATATCTGTTTATGTCTGGAAAATGAATTTTGCGCAGATTATAGATATTATATCTATACTACGCGCGGCGCCCCAAAGTTTTTAGATCTCGCTAACCACAAAAATTCTGAACAAGCGGACAACGCCATTAGATCGCGTATAGTCCAGAAGTGGCTCACATGATATTTTTTTCGAAACTTTCGATCAGAACTGTGCCGGCACGATGCCGCAAACGATACAACCCTGTTTCAAGGTGACCTTTAAACTTAGAAAAATTTTGCCTGGATGCAATACTTAACACGAATTATTAAATACTCCAATTGAACGAATAGATTGCCTTATTTTCGAACGACACTAGTCTGTCACCAACCGCAAAACCTAATAAGTAAGTAATCCCAAGTAAGTCTCTCGGCTTTTGTTGTCGGCGCATTTAATTTTGTAGAATATTGGGAGGTTTTAACTTCAGACCATATCTGTACGTATTACGAAATAAACGCACGGACCGTTACAAACGCACGGACCGTTACAGTTACAACCGCTCTTCTAAAACACTTACTACAAGCCTATGGGCCAATGTAAGGCGACAGAGAGACCAAGCTACAATCACTGTCCAGTGTAAAAGTTCGCTTTGTGAGGAACTGCCAAGCTACCGCCACCGCCCGGTAAGCAAAATCTTTACATGAATGAGTGACCAAGCTACCACCGCTGCCACTGCCCAGTGAGCAAAATCTCTATGCGAGTGGGTAAACAAGCTATCACTGCCGAATAAGCAAAATACGCTGACCGAGCTACCAAGCACCAGTGCCGCTGAATAGCTTGCTAGATGAGTGAATGAGTGAGTGACAAAATTACCGCTACCGTCCAGTTCATGCGTACAAACAGAGCATTTGTAAAAAAAATGGAATGCTTCGGAGTGAAAATGATAAACTGATTTTTAGTAAAAAATTCCGTTTTTACGCTTTCACGATTTATCCATTTTGCTTTGCCGAATGTAAGATGCTTCTTGTATTTTACTAGTGGTGGTTGATAACCACATCATTGCACCGAGCGGGAGTGATACTCACCGACAAATGTTTACACTGAAAGTTGAATAGGTGAACTGTAAACAGCAGATATGTTTTTTGAACTTTTTATTCAGATATATAATAATAGATATATACTTAATTTTATTCCGCTGTCATTTTATGAACAAATCCGTCATAAACTAAACACAGATTTCTCAGAGTGATCTGTGTCAAAATTCCACATAGTAAGTATGCGGAAAAATTAAAAACGAAAGTACGATATTACATGTACGTACTTACTGAAATTCAGAGAGCTACAGAGACGGCTACCAACTTCTTTGCACCAGCCAACTGTTTGGTTAGAGCATTTTGTTAAAGATAAAGATAATTAACAATTCTTCTCTGGTTAACTTCGCCAATGCCACTGGAAAATGGTATTGGATTGTGAAATTGGAAAAGTGTTACGTACGCTTTTTTTGGTTTTTGGCTCTGCTGTGGAAATGTATGCTCTGCTATGGAGCGTGCATCACTTGACGATCAGTTACAATGGACGCCAAAATTGTCTTACACTTATGTAATCACAAAACGCGCGCAACCAAGCACTTTTCTGTACCAAACAGCCAAATTTTTGACTGGCCATCGGTCTGCTGACATTTACACTTACACCTTGCGCATTTCCCAACGAAAACCATCGACCGATATCTCAAACGAATGAGGACTAAATTTCAAAAATTTTGATACCAAACAAGTTGTTTTTTATAAGATCTAAGAGATAATCGAGGCATCTAAAGTTTCTCGTAGACATAGCATAGGATTTGCATCCGCGGTTTGGTTTCAGTTTTCACACAGAAATCGTGTGCTCTGTCTACGACAAACTAGAATGGCTCGATTTTCTCTTAGATCTTATAAAGGATGACCCGTTAGGTATCAAAATTCTTGAAATTTTTTTGTCTTTCGTTTGAGATATCGCTTGATGGTTTTCGTTAGGAAATGCGCCAGGAACAAGTGTTCGTATTCTTGCACGTTTTCTGTTATTGGTCATTTGGTCCTGGCCATTTATTTTTATTGGTCATTCGGTCCCGGACCGAATGTAAGACAATTTTGGCTTCCATTGTAATTGCAGCACCTCGCGCTTCGCGCTCGGTGCAAATAATAATATAAGAAATACAGAGCTGGAGTACAAGTAGTCAATCTTCGGTTCATCTACAGTAAGTACTTGGCGACTCGTCAGCAGTATGTACAAAGTAGTACAGTACATATGGCGACAAAAGCTGTAAAATTGCAAAATTGTGAATTTTTTCGCAGTATTTACACTTTTGTACTACCAGTTGTATTCTTACATTCCAATTTACATAGTATGCCAACACAGAAAATTTCATAATAACTTCGGAAATTGCGAAGTTGATAAAGAAAACCGGCATCGCATCCGCCGCGGCTCTCACATGTAGAAGTATCGTTCTAAAACAACCGACTCAATGGAAATTGGAATGATACCGGAAGTGGGATGGCTTCTTGTCTGTCCACATTGCCCATTACAAGAAGAATATCGATATCTGCCTGGATAATGTCGTGTAATGGTTGCGCATCGCCTTGTTAACTGGTATTTTTGTCTCTACTGCATGTTTTTTTACTGCATCTAAAGTGGTAAGTACTGTAAAATGCTTGGGCAATAGGTGCACTTACTTAACTCAGCTTCGCTTTTTTATGCTTGCCGTATATCTCATTGATTGAACTGCTTAAACACATCTTTGTGTTCATAACGTTTTCCAACCTTGAAAAAATGCATAAGTCGAAAATCGGAAAATTACAACTTTTGTATCGCTGTGCGAAGCATATTCACAAATAAAAATATAGCGCTACTTTTGTACTTGACTTTTTTGTTGCCGTTTTGCTGAGAAGATGATAATATTACTGTACAAAAATGACTTGGAAGCTACCGTAGAGTACGTAAGTTGCGCTTGTGATTCGTGAACCTAAAGATGATTACAATTTGCCATACTTTTTGAGACGATGACAAGATCTTACGCGACGAGTAGACCGCGGACGCGGATCTTGCGCGTTCCTTATGCAGTCGCAATTAATTTTAATCCGAGAAAAACTGTACTTTTTATGCATTACTGGTTTCAGTTCAGAATGCGATCTTCATTTAATAACAACACAAGAAGTTGACAAGGAGTTCTGTCTTTAAATAAAGAAGTCGTTGACAACAAAAAATGCACCCTATTTGCTGTAAACACAAAAAAACCATAATTAACACGCTGAATTAAAACAACAGGCGTTTCGTGCTATTGTAAATTTCAAAACAGAATTAGTTATGGTTATTCATTACCGTCGCACTCTGTCAAGTTGGCCCAGAGCCGATCACAGCGTGCACAGCTGCCAAAAGACCGAACACTTTTTAAGGAAATCCCAGCGAGTGGCTTCGTTGGGAAAGCTAACACGGACGCAATCTTGTGGTGTCAACTCAATGACAACGGTATCTCCATCCACCGTACTTTCTCGGGTTTTATGCGGCCGTTCGATGACGAAAGCGCTCTCCATCGCTTGCAGCTTTCCGGTCACTTCTTGGCACTGTTGGACCACGACAACCACCCCCTGCGTGAAGCTGTAATTGACGGTAACAATGCTTGGATGCTGACGGTTTTTCTCGATTGCATACGAATGCTGGGTCGACAGCTGGTCGGAAACAAGGGCGACAAACGAGGACGATGATGGCCACTCTACATTAGGAAGTGGTTTGTCCGCTGAAAAACATTACGTGATTAATTAGTACACTGTTACCTGTCTTTGACGGGTATCGTACTACTGTTTGTACATAAATACGCCAGAGTCCTTCGATCGGTTACGTACCGTCAGCTGCAGAAGGAAATGAGTTCAGCATTTCTCGCCGTCGCGCGTCGTATTCCACCATGAACGGCTCATAAGCACTGGGGTCATCAGCAAAAACCCAGAGATTGCTCCAGCCGGCGCTCTCTCGATATGTAAAAGACGCCTGAATCCACAAATATTTGTCGGCCGTATCGTCCGGCCTATCAGGCTGTAATTTGCGCAACTGAATCCGCACATCCCTACCGAGTAGCATCCGCATGTACGTCACCGGCTGACTGTTTACGCTGCTTTCCAAGCTAATACAGTGCACTTTGGACCTTCCCATCTTCTGAGTGGACAACAGCAGGCGGGAAGCAGGAAGGGTAACGGGCTCTTTCGGGTAACCCATATATAATTCGCCGGACAGCGCAAAGTCCCGACGGACGTCGCTGATGAAGATATCCCGAGCCGGTTGCACCAGAGCGTGGGCCTCTTGAAGCGGCGACGTTAGAGTCCTTAGTATTTTTTCCAAATTGAATGCGAGTCCCTCTTGCAACCGAAAAAGCAGTTCCTGTCTATCGATATTCGCACGGTTCCCCGCCAGACTGCTGGCAATCGCCGCACCAAACGCTTCCGCATCGTCCACATAACTCGCCACTCCGGCAATTATCTGGCTCTTTGTGACATCCTCCAACGCCCTGCGCAACAGCCCCAACCGGGAATTCTCGCCCACCAACAGCAGCCGCAGTTCCCTTTAATGTTCCCGGTGTTGGCGTCCATGAGACCGAACCTCGTTAACTCCGCCACGACACGCTTTCGGACGACTTCAACGCTTGACTCCGCCACCGCATGGTATGTCTTCCGGGTACAGATCATGACATACTTCTGTAGTGGGGCACGAATGGTTACTTTCTCGGTCCGCGGATCGTTAAAAAGCGCCATCTGGTCCACGCACTCCTCCTCCAGCTGCAGCAACATACGCTGATCCAATTCAGGCATCCCGGCTCTCTTGAAATGTTGAAAAACAGCGTTGACCAGGTGTCGCCGCAGTCTAGCGAAGCACTTCCACACAACATATTGGCCACTGTGAAACTTGACGAGGTGGTTGTTCTGAATCACCTCGAAGACGTCTACACGGCAGTGCTCCGAATCCGCATTGCACACCAGCAGATGAACCGGTTCGGATGCGTTGGTGTTGATGGATTGCCGGTCCAGTGTCTGCACGGTGTAGGCCAGCAGAATGGCCGATACGTCGGAGATGCACAGGACATCCATGACGCTGTTCTTCTGCCAGGCGTCCATCACCAGTTGACGGATGACTGGACTGCAATTCAGACCATGCGGCAGAACGACAACAACGCCTCGGAGACACTGCTTCCGTTCAGTCTCTCCGATCATCTTGATGTAGGCAAAGAGCTTCTCCAACAGCAGCGGCAAAAGCGGATCCTTCTCGCCGCAGCCGTACGCCAGCAATGTGCCTTTAATCGAGGGGAGGGATTGGTATCGGCTGTCAGCGCGGTAGCTGCGCGCATCCATACCAAAATGCCAGTCGTGGTGATCATTGCTGCAGGCCGCGACGGATGGAAAGCTGAGCAGCACCCGCGGCACACCGTTCTCGTACTGCGCAATGGAGATCTTCTTGAATCCGATTTCCACTCCCAACCGCAGTTCACTCATGGTTTCTGGAAGAGTAAATCACATAAAGAAATTCCACCAAGCTACTAAACGCTTGCGGTCAGTAGCAGTCTAACTGGGGGATACTGCCGGTATTAGTATTTCTGCTGGTTTTACTTTTACGGTTGTGCCCAGTAAGAAACGGCAACAGGTGCGCTGTAAGCGGAACCGATACAGCGGAACTTTAAACGTCGAATATAAATAAACGGAACTAACTGTACAGCGAGTAGTATTGGAATCTGTCGCTCCTCTAACCAACTCGAAAAATAAGGAAATTGCGAACGTAAATACTCGTAGCAACGTAAATAGCTTACTGCTTAGTGAGTGCTTACAATGAATAGGAGGCTACTTCCGAGTATCCACTCCGTAAAACTGCGATAAAACAAGTAATTCCAGTCGATCACATAAATGATAACATTCCAGCTATGAGTCCAGCAAGCAGACAGTAGGCAGAATTCAAAATAACATGATTAATAACTCAAATATTCTATTTTGTAATTGACTAATTGTTATATTTCATGCAGCATTCTGTGCTGTCAGTGTGCAGACAAAATAACTCGCCATAAAATAACTTGTAACCTCAAATAAATGCGAATATGCGATTTAATACTGAGACTCTGCCATGCAATGGCTTGAATCTATGGCGTACCAAATACCTCACCCCCCGTAAACCTTAAAACGTAAAATCGTAAAACGTAAAACACAATACCGTAAAACTCAGAACTCAGAATCGTAAACCTCAGAACTCAGGATCATAGAACTTGAAACTGTAAACCATGAAACATGAAATCGTGGTTTTCGTGGACTTCGACAATTTTTCACTTTTCAGCATTTCAATTCCACAATGTTTTAAGCAAAAATAAACGGTAGTTCCACCAACGCCAATCCAATTCCAAAATCACCGCCTAATTCCAATAATTAAGTAGAATTCCATTAATATTATTGGAATTGGCTTGTGGAATTGGAACTCTGAAAAGTGAAAATTGTTAAAGTCCACGAAAACCACGATTTCATGTTTCTGGTTTACAGTTTTAAGTTCTATGATTCTGAGTTCTGAGGTTTACGATTCTGAGTTCTGAGTTTTACGGTATTGTGTTTTACGTTTTACGGTTTTACGTTTTAGTGTTCTACGTTTTACGTTTTAGTGTTTTACGTTTTTGTGTCTTACGTTTTAGTGTTTTAGTGTTTTACATACGTTTTACGTTTTAGTGTTTTACGTTTTAGTGTTCTGTTTTAAGTTTTAAGATTTACTGGGGGTGAGGTATTTGGTACGCCATATGAATCACTGTGAGCTGAATGGCCGTGCGTAGACTGCCAGTTCCGGCCTGTGGCTGTATGTAGGTACACAGGCGCTGTATGATCCTGTATCATCCAAGTACGACCAAAGTCCAAAACGTGCCATTGGCCATTGCCAAACAACTCCACCCGCCGCAACGATCACACAGAACTTTCAGACTGCACCGCGAATCGCCGACATTGATGTTCAAAGACACCCGCACGCTTTGTTGTGCCTCTGTTAGCCGATTTCTGCGGAGTTCCAGTTTGCACGGAGTGACTTCAGCGTGGGCATCATTTTTTTATCAGTCTGGGCTTTATCATGTCAATCCCTCTGTCGTGAAAACTGATCTGCATATAGGAAAATTTGTATTCTACAGTTCGTTACTTATACACGTAATAGCCTATTTTACATTTTGTTTGAGTGATACATACCACATACTTCATAGTCCATACGTTGTGTATCGGTCTGTGTAAGTGACACTTTATACGTTGATCTCAAGTTTAGAGTACTTACTCTCTTCGACGTTTTGTCGTTTCGACTTCGCGGTTTTCCTCGTCAAACTGGTTTTTCAGATTAATTCGATAAAATGGCTGACGGGGTAGGAATTGATCTTGGCACGACGCATTGTTGTCTGTTCGTGTATAAGCACGGCCGTAGCCCGCAAGTCATCAAAAACAACATCGGCGAGACTACCACTCCGTCCTGGGTGCGTTTGGAGCGGGATGGGATGGAGGTGGGCAAATACGCCAAGCGACAGAGTCCCGACTACAGCCGCAACACCATTCGCAATGCAAAGCGCATCATTGGACGCAGCTTCTACGACGCTGCGGTGAAGACTGAACGCAGTCTGATGCCCTTTGCAATTATCAACGACAACGGAACCCCTGCGATACGAGTGAGGGTCCTCCGCAATTTAAAATTAATTATTATGTATATAACACTGTTGTGGAGTACTATAACACTGTTGTGGAGTACATCGTCTTGTTGTACATGTGACATTGCTGCAATATTTACTACATTATTTGATTTATTTTGAATGCAGAACTAAACAAACTACTGCGGTTTGTAAATAATATGGTTGTGTGCTAAGATTATTTTGATGTTTTGGTTTTACATATTGTTTGAAGTCGTTCGATCGTTTGAGAGCGCAGTGCTTTAGCGTACTTACTTCGAGTAGTTTTGTCCAGATATTGCAGTTAGTACCTTACAACGATGTACTAATGTGAAAAGAAAGAACATGACTGGCACATGGGACAATTTGCAGGTGGAACAGTGTAGTGAGAGCGGCAACGTTATTTGGGAAAAGGTTATCCGTCCGGAAGAGGTGAGCGCCACGATGCTGGGGTATTTGAAGGAGATGGCCGAGGGATTCCTGGGCAGCAAGGTGACCTCCGTGGTAGTGACTACTCCGGCCAATTTCATGGAGACGCAACGTGCTGCCACGCTGAGCGCCGCCCGCCTGGCCGGCTTCAAAGACGTCAGCCTGTTGAACGAACCGACAGCTGCCGCCATCGCCTACGGCGGCGTTGTGGATGAGCAGTGCACCATCCTAGTCTTCGACTTCGGCGGCGGAACACTGGATATCAGCATCATGAAGGTGGAGGGCCGCAACGAGTACCGCGTCCTCAGCACCGACGGCGACATGTATTTGGGCGGGGAGAATTTCGATGCCGAGATTGTCCAGCATTTCCTGGACGACATCCGTCGCCGCCATGGCATCGATTTGGCCCATGATAGCAAAGCCTTGGCAAAACTGAAACTGGCCGCCGAACAGGCCAAGATCGCCCTCGCCAGTCCGTACAGTGGCACATACCGGGAAACCTTGCACAAGCTGCGTGAGGGCCTTGACTACAATTTAGAGCTGACGAAAGCGACCTTAAGCGGGATGTTCGGCCGTCTGCTGCCGAGCATCTTGGTTCCAGTGAAGAACGCCCTGGAAGCCGCTAAATTGGCGCCTGGAGATATCGACAAGGTCATCTTGGTGGGCGGCAGCAGTCGGATGCCGGCGGTGAAAGAGACCCTGCAGACGTTTTTCGGCCGGGAAGGAGTGGTGTGCGCGGATGCCGATCCGGATGAGACGATTGCTCGCGGCGCCGCCATGCAGTCCTACCGCATCAATAATCAGCAGGCTACCAACGTTCAGGAGGTTACCGCCTATCACTATGGACTGAAAGTGGTGGACGAACTGGAAGCCGGCAGTACGCGAATCCGCGAGTTGCTTCCCCGGGGGAGAGCATATCCTGCCAGTGTTTCGAGAGTTTTTGTCACAGCCTACGATAATCAGGCTAGCGTGGATTTCGATGTGTATCAAAGTAAACGCGGATTTAATCTGGACAAATTTCGCATTGGCCAGTTTGTCATTCCGGATCTGCCTCGGCGGAAAGCTGGAGGGTGTTTGTTTGATGTGACATACAGCATCGATCGGAACAACATCTTGCACGCGACGGCGCAAGGGAAAGACGACATCGCCCACTACAAGAAGAATATCGACATCCGCCTGGATAATGTCGTTTAGTAATTGCGTTTTGCGAATGGCCAAGTTGGCCGGTACGTTTTTAGCATATATTACTTTTTGCTTCGCTGAAATGAACATTCATGGCTTCGATTTTTAAAGCTTCACTGCAAGTTCTCATATTTTCTTGATTAAATTTTCTACGTATGGTGTGCACGCCTTTTTACAATACTTTCGTACTTGTGTCGCACTACGCATTGCACATCATATCAAGCATCAGGTTGAATAAAGCGTACTAGTATTAATAATGGGAATACAGCGTATTAGTAATAACTAATAAGTGTATAAATTGACTTGACAATGATCCACTTGACGGCAAAAGTGCCTTTCAGTCGGTCTGCCGTACCTGTAGCCTCAGGCTGTAGGTACAGTCCGTATCTGTACTACGAATTACTACTACTACTATAGATAAAGTACCTATGGACGGTATGCAGGTACAGATCGTACAGTACCTTTTTTTGTTTAGAATCCAGTAAGCACCAAAACCGATGAATTACAGATTTTGGTAAATGTCATTTCTCCTCATCACCAGAAGTGACGGTCTCTGTAAAAAAGTACTGATTTTGTCCGGTTTTAAGCGACCTTTCGAGAAATGTCTCAAGAAGTAAGGATACCGGTTAAAAAATTTAATTTGCTGATTTCAAGCAAGATTTAAACAGGGCTGATTAACAAGACGAGCGATCAAAACCTTTAGAAGCTGCAAGATTTATTAATTACGATCTTAGTCGCACAACACTTGCTTAGCGCTGAAAGCTATGATTAAAAGTATAAATAAAAAAATAAATAAAACTAGGTGATAATGTCAGCAACTTAAAACAAAATTTTGGATTTTGCTTACTGAATTCTTTGTTCTTGACTTCAGTGAGGCATGCGGATTATCGTTTTAATACAAGTACTGTATAACTTCTCATACAACAAGTAACACTAACAACCAGTACATCGTTCAAATAATCAAACAATAACAGACATTCATAATATGTACTAGTACTGTACCTGTAAGTTTCGTAACCTGTTTGAATGTGCCAAAATTAGTGTCGGTGTTCTATGTTCTATGTCAAAATCCCGAAAGAAAGAAGAACACAATTATAAACCTTCATACTCTATTTATCCAGAATCAATAACTGCTTTAATATGCGGCTTTTCAACAATCTATACAGTCGCAGTATGCTTACCACTATAAAAATTAACACTTTTTAAGAAAACTCCAGCGGGTGGCTTCGTTTGGAAAGCTAACACGAACACAGTCTTGCGGCGTCAGTTCAATAACAATTGTATCCCTCTCAGTAGATTCCGGGCGAATCTTATGCGGCCGTTCGATTGCGAAAGTGTTTCCAATTACTCGCAGCTTTCCGGTTACTTCTTGGCACTGCTGGACCACGACAACGAGATCCCGCGTGGAGGAACAATTAACGGTTACAATGCTTGGATGCTGCTGATTTTTGTGAATTTCATGGGAATGCTTGGTAGGAAGCTGGTCTGACACAAGAGCAACGAAGGAGGACGCGGATGGCCACTCTAACGCAGGAAGAGATTTGTCCCCTGAACAAACAATACACTGCTTACGATTAGTACTTAGTAGTGACTCGTGTACTGTGTACGCCAAAAAGATGAACTAATATTTTGCAACCACATTACAACATAAACCAATAGTCCTTCAGGATTGAAATCCTGTGAACATACCGTCAGATGCAGAGGGAAACATGTTCAACATTTCTCGTTTCCGGGCTTTGTACTCCTCTAAAAACGGCTTATAAGTGCTGGCGTCATCCGCAAAAAATCCAAGATTACTACAGCCAGAGCTATCTCGATACGTGAACGAAACTTGCATCCCTAGATATTGACATTCGACGACCGTCTGATCAGTTCTTTTACGCTGCAGTGTACGCCACAGCATCCAGACATCCTTCCCCAACAACATCCGCATGTACGTTACCGGTTGACCATTGAAGTTGTTTTCCAGTTTTAAACAGTGCACTTCGCAGTTTCCTATCTTCTGCATAGACAATACCAGGCGACAATCAAGAATGCCAAAGACCTCTTTCCCGTCACCCATGTACAATCGTCCGGACAGGACAAAATCACGGCGGTTGCTAATGAAGACATCCCGTGCCGGTTGTACCATAAGGTTAGCGTCCCGTACCGGCAATGTCTTTAGTATGACTCTCATACTGAGCGCGATTCCTTCTTGCAGTCGGTAGAGCTGAACTTCTCTATTGATATCTGCGTTGTTCCCCCACAGACTGCTGGCGATCGCCGCACCAAAGGCCTCTGCATCGTCCACATAACTCGCCACTCCGGCAATCACCTGGCTCTTCGTGACACTCTCCAGCGCGCTCCGCAACAGTCCCAAGCGGGAATTCTCGCCCACCAACAGCAGTTCCACTTTTCCGCTAATGTTACCGGTATTTGCGTCAATTATGCCGATCCTCGTTAACTCCGTCACGACATGCGTTCGGATGAACTGGATGATTGGTTCCACCGCCGCATGGTACGTCTCCCGCGTGTAAGTAACCAAATACGTATGAACGGGGGCGCGTATGGCCACTTTGTCAGTCCGGGGATCGTTAAACAGAGACATTTGTTCCAAGCATTCTTGCTCCAGCTGCGCCCACGAACGTTGATCCAACTCGGGCATCCCAACGCCCTTCAACTGCTGATGGACAGCGACTACACCACGCCGCCGCAGTTCACCGAAACAGTTCCACAGAACACAATGATTACTCAGGAATTTGACGACGAGATCGTTATTGATCACTTCGAAGACGTCCACCCGGCAGTGCTCGGCATCTGCATTGCAGACTAAGAGACTAACCGGTCCAGTCTTGCTCGTGCTGAGGGATTGCCGGTCCAGTGTCTGCACGGTGTAAGCCAGCAGAATGGCCGATACATCAGAGATGCAGAAGACATCCGGTACGCCATTCTTCTGCCAGGCTTCGATCACCTCTTGACGGACGACATGGAACGTGTCGAGACAGTGCGATAAAACCACAACGACGCCTTGAAGGCACTGCTTCCGTTCAGTTTCCCCAATCATCTTAATGTGAGTAAAGAGTCCTTCCAACAGCAACGATACAAGCGAATTCTTCTCTCTGTAGCCGTGCTCCAACAGTATAAGTTTAACACTACCCATATAACGGTAATTGGTGTCCGCTTGGAAGCTGCGCGCGTCCATACCGAAATGCCATTCTCTGTGATCCTTGCTGCAGGCCGCCACGGAGGGAAAACTGTGCAGCACACGCGGTACACCATTCTCGTACAGTGCAATCGAGATCTTCTTGAATCCGATGTCCACTCCCAACCGTAATCCGCTCATTTTTCCTGAGAAAGAATTCAAAATAATCGTAAGGATGATAACAGGGTGAGTTCGGCTATCAAACATGCATTCAAAGTTGTAAACGATACACTGTACAGAGCTACCTAAAAACTATTATTAATGTTGAAGGGCGGCATGAAGGCCTTCACCCTTTAGTACGCACACTAGGTCGACATTGGCGCTATTCTACACCTACTGATTTTGTCTTTTGGAGCTTCGAATGAGCCATAGGCACGTGCATGCGGGCATACTACTGCACATGTGCGCAGAATGTTTCAGAAGAGAGATAGCACTGGGTTCTCTATGGCTTGAATTGTTATTTCATTGATTACAACGTTTGTCGGAAAGATTGTAACTGTCAGGTAGGCAGTGAAATGTAGAGAATTTATTTCTCCACATTTCAGTGTAGAATTTGTCAAGTAAAACCTTATGAGAGTGTTTCAGAAATCATTAAAGGAAATAGTCTTGTGCTATGCTACTGCACGGCACTGCCAAACGAGGGTGTTCACAGACTGATCTCCCAAATGGGATTTAGACATTTTCGGTAAAACTTTCCTTGTATCGCTCATTTCAAATTTTCCTAAACAAGTTATGGACCTAATTGTAGAGAAATAGATTCTCTACATTTTGGTATGCGGATAATAGCTGAACCAGCAGAAGAAATCGTAATACAAGCGTAAAAGTCTTACGCCTCTGTAAATGCCTATGTACAATCTCTTCTGAAATATTAGCGGCGCAAGTGTTGTACAGGGAATCTCTCAGGCCCGCCTGCACATGACTATTGCTTATTCTCAGTTCGGTCGCCGGCTTCGATGGCCGATATGACAGCCTATTTGTAAATAATACTAACAAATTCCAGTTAGTAATAATTCCCGATTTGTACCAACACCAATCACAACGTCATTACTAATGCAGTAAATCTTAACATCGTTATGGAAAAACCTGGAATATGACTGCAAGTCTGCAATGCACTCTCCGGGAATCTAAGCAGATCGTTGTGTGTCTGCATCGACTCGTACAAAGCAAAGCAATATGCATGTCAGCTGTGAGCTATCCTTACAAGCCCAGGCAGCCTATGAGAGAGCACTATTCAGGCACTGGCCACGTACCTACGGTGCTGTAAGTACGAGTACTCTATCTATGTGCCAGGTAGATAGACGGCCCCGCGAATCGGGCGCTTTGATCTCAAAGACAGCCGACACGCTCTGTTGCGTTTCTGTTAGCCGCTTACTGGACAGCTCCGACTGGTCGCGCTGCACGAGCCACAATTTCTCATTCTGCTGTAGCTGCTGTATAGGGCTTTCTTCGTTATAGCCGGTCGCGGGATCTTAATTAATTGTTGTTCACCAGTTCACGCGTTTCCAATTTTAATCAGTATAAAACTGTGTACTTTTCCAACGTGGCGCGCTTTTTCTATCGTCGATTGATGCCTTAAAATTTAAGAGTGTTGTTCGGGGTTTCCATCTTCAGCTCTGTGCGTACTGCATACAAGGGATTTTTGTTTGCCTCGGTTTTACTTAAATCCAGACATGGCTGACGGAGTAGGCATCGATCTGGGCACGACGCACTGCTGCCTGTTTGTCTACAAGCATGGCCGGAGTCCGCAGGTGATTAAGAACAAAATCGGCGACGCCACCACACCGTCGTGGGTGCGCCTGGAGCGGGACGGGATGGATGTGGGCCGACAGGCCAAACGCCTTAGCCCGGACAACAGTCGCAATACTATCCGCAACGCTAAGCGGATCATTGGACGCAGATTCGACGATCCCGCTGTGACAGTGGAACGCAGTCTGATGCCCTTTGCAATCATCAACGATAGAGGATCCCCGGCCATACGGGTGATTGCTGGTTATCTCTGATTTAAATACTTGAATTTATACGGGTATAGGTTTGTTAATTACGTTTATAGATGTTAAGAACTTCAAGATGTATACTAGGCATTCTTATCGTAAGACTGTTTAATTTACATTTCGTTTACACCTGCCCGGTTTATATCGATCTTACGCTTATATAACCGAAAGCGGCAAAACAGCTACGAATAAAGTCTTATTAAAACAGTGCGTTTCATAAAACGAAATTTTCAATACGAAAATAATATTTCAGAAGAGAGTTCTTCTGTCAGTATCAGTATCAAGTGCTAACCGTACAGCGTACGAGTAAAGTTCTTTGTCTGTAGTTTATAAAGCTCATTTCATTGCCTTGCGCTCGTGCAAAAGTTGCTTATGGTTAACTGTTCACGTTTTCCCTGCAATGCATTGTAAACGCGGCTGTTTGCAGGTCGAACAGTGCAGCGAGAGCGGCAACGTCATCTGGCAGAAGGTTATCCGTCCGGAGGAGGTCAGCTCCTCGCTGCTTGGGTATTTGAAGGAGATGGCTGAAGGATTCCTGGGCAGCAAGGTGACCTCCGCGGTAGTGACTACTCCGGCTAATTTCATGGAGACTCAGCGCGCCGCCACGCTGACCGCCGCCCGCCTGGCAGGCTTCAAAGACGTTAGCCTGTTGAACGAACCGACCGCCGCCGCCATCGCCTACGGCGGCGTCGTGGATGAGCAGTGCACCATCCTAGTCTTCGACTTCGGCGGCGGAACATTGGACATCAGCATCATGAAGGTGGAGGGCCGCAACGAGTACCGCGTCCTCAGCACGGACGGCGACATGTATTTGGGCGGGGAGAATTTCGATGCCGAGATTGTCCAGCATTTCCTGGACGACATCCGTCGCCGCCATGGCATCGATTTGGCCCATGATAGCAAAGCCTTGGCAAAACTGAAACTGGCCGCCGAACAGGCCAAGATCGCGCTGTCCAGTCCCTACAGTGGCACATATCGGGAAATCGTGCACAAGCTGCGTGAAGGCCTTGACTACGATTTAGAGCTGACGAAAGCGACCTTCAACGGCATGTTCAGCGGTCTGCTCCCGAGCATCTTGGTTCCAGTGAAGAACGCCCTGGAAGCCGCTAAATTGGCGCCTGGAGATATCGACAAGGTCATCTTGGTGGGCGGCAGCAGTCGGATGCCGGCGGTGAAAGAGACCCTGCAGACGTTTTTCGGCCGGGAAGGAGTGGTGTGCGCGGATGCCGATCCGGATGAGACGATCGCGCGTGGCGCCGCCATGCAGTCCTACCGCATAAACAACCGTCAGCCAACCAACGTACAGGAGGTCACAGCGTACCATTATGGACTGAAGGTGGTGGATCGATCGCGGCCAGGCAGTACACGCATCTGCGATCTGATTCCTCGGGGGACAGCATTCCCTTCCAGTGTTACCGACGTTTTCCACACATCTTACGATTATCAGACAGAGGTGGATTTCAGTGTGTATCAGAGTAAACGCGGATTCACTTTGGACAAGTTCCGAATTGGAGGATTTGTCATTCCTGGTTTGCCCCCACGGAAGAGGGGAGAGTGCAAGTTTGATGTAACGTACAACATCGATGGGAATAATATCTTGCATGCGACTGCGCAAGGCAAAGGCGACATCGCCCACTATAAAATGGATATTGAAATTCGCTTGGATAATGTCGTTTAATGCTTGCGCATGGCCCAGCGAGACGGTATTTTCAGTTCTCGAATTTTTTTTGTTGCACGGAAAGTAGCCAGGCCAACCGTTTTGTCATAAGTCTAAATTTTCATAGACTTTTCATCTTGTTTGTTCTTCTCTATTTGGATAACTGCTAAAGCTTACGTGCTTCTATCGGGTATCGAAACTACTATCGTCTATATATAGGCTATAGATAATGCAACTTTTGTGACACTGTCCGAATCTGTAAGCATATGTAGCGAACATTTACTTTTTATGTACGTGCTAACCGGTATAAGCAACGGTCTTCCGTCTCCTGTTAAAAGGTGAATTTTGCGCGAGTCGGATGGATTGGGCTAACCCTTGAATTCATTCCTTACGGTTCTGGTTATAACGATCAGCAATTAAACGTAAAGATACTTATGCGTTTGTTAATATGCCGGTTTGAATTTAGTAAGTTTTTTTATGACCACCGCACACGATCGAAGCGATCGGCATGGTGTAGCTCTCTCTATTGAGTCGCCGCTGTAAACATCAACACCAGACTTTTTCACACGCTAGGAGGCTTTTTATAATCAGATAATAATTGTAAATCCAAAACAAGAACGATCGTTACACCGTAATTGCTGTACTGCATAACACACAACAAAGATATTTGCACGGATGGATGGCCTTTCCGAATTGGATCGAAGAGATACGACAGCGGATAGACAAACTGAAAGCTTTTAATTACTGCATGTAAAGTTGATGGTCGGATCTCATGGCAGTTTTAAACATCTCAGTATTGCATTTGTATAACTCCTTGAACCAGTTTTTTGGTATCCATCACACCATTAGGTCCAATCTTGGTTGTTTTTCCCAGGATTTTTATGATGTCTCGAGCAATTAGCATCCTCGTAAGTCAGTTTACGCTTTACAACAGTTTGATTAAAATGCAATATTTTGCTCCAGTAATGTGTTGCTCTTGGTAATGGTTTTAGGTGCTCCTCTTAAGTGCAGGCATCCCCTGCCTTCTGGTCCTGGCACAAAATGGACAAGGTACTTGTACTAATAACGCTTTTTCTGTTAACCGGCTATGCGAAAGAGCTCATAATCTGTTCGGCACATGCCAGCGTTAATGTCTACTTATCAAAGGTTACAATTAATAATTTTGTCTATGGTTTAGTGCATCTTTTCGATACAATGGTCATCGTGCTCCCGAATAGCTCTAATAATGCCCGAGATGTGGTTCTTGAGCGCATTCGGCAAGCGTATGAACTTTCCCTACGTAAGTACTCAATATTACCTTCTGTATCAAGTGACAGCTTCTGTAACTGAAAGCTTCCTTTAATCAGGCCCGGAAGTGGAAAAGGTCAAGATCGATCTACTAATAGATTCTCCCTTTTTTACGCAAAAGTTCACGGATGACGGCTCGCCGTATCTGTTTCTGGACGGTCTACCAAAACCTTTGATGCGGAACGGTTCGTTAACCAACAGTCGACCCGTAGTGATTACGGACTCCATTGAAATCACCGCCACCGGTCGAGCGCAACGCGACAAGATAATGGAGGATATCAAGCAAGTGTGGGAAAAAGTCGCAGCCGGTACACAGCTACAACATTTCTTGTATAACTCCATTGCATAACAGCAGATTTTTAATTTTTGTAGCGGCGAACATTAGCCATCTGCAGGTCGACATTATAAGCGACCGCCCATCGGAAGCCTACGCCACCAGTGAAGGCGTTCCCATTCGCAGCATCACCTACCGAATCACCGCCACCGCCAACACGGATTTCGATGAGCTGGCGTTGAAGAACGAATTCCGCCTCCATCTCAACATCTCGGCGGTGCGCAATCTGTGGAAGATCCCGGACTTCATTATCCCGGCGTTCGATAACAACACCACGATACCGACAACAACTACTCAGCCAAATTTCAGCGGGATGTCGTTCAGCACGCCGGTATTGCGAAATATTGTTATTCGAGTGTCTGGACAAGTCAGCACGGGAATAAGCGTTTCGGAGGCTAAACGCCGGTTCCGCAAAGTGGTGGCGGCTTTCCCCGTTGAAGGATTATGGTTTATTAGTGAAGAGGATGCCGAAGCGGCTGCGGTGGACGAAACAGTTATCGAGATGCCGGTGAATGTTAGCGTTGTCTATGTTAACGTCACCGAGCCATGCAACTACGTTTGCCCGAATTATACCAGGCCGGACGACCTTTCGATAGTGTCTGTGCAAAACATAACAGCGTTCTCGATCGTATCGAATATTTCTTTGTGGGACAACGTTACCGAACCGACGATTCCGTTAACCTTCATCAATCTGGCAGCGCCGGTAATTCCCGTGAACATTACGATGCCGGCTCTTCCTAAGGAAATTCCCTCTTCGGTTCCAGACTACGGTTCATTTTTACTCATGAGCAATTTAATCGACACGATGGGAAAACTGACCGAAATGTCCAGTCGCGTGTTCAAACGTGTATTCCAAATTTAAACCGTGTTCATTTGTATTACCGGGTTCAAGGACTCATTTCATATATTATACAAACAATTAAAGTTGTTTAGGACAGTCTAATTTTGGCATGCGGAACATAGTATTAGTAAATAAATCTTTTAAGTAAATCCTTCGTCGTCATTCCAGCCCATCTTTACAAACAAAAAAGCTAGGCTAAATAAAATGACGTTGAGAATAACGGTCGCCCAGGGGAAGGGTGTTTTCACAGATGGAACGGGTACGAAAAACGGCACAATGGTAGACGGGGTAGTGGAAGAGTTGGTGATATACTGCAGTTCATAAACCAGGATTGTCTGGGCTTTGGGATGCTGTTTCCGCTTTTCTGCTTTATGGCGGAGCTTCTCGTCTTCTATAAGTATTGAGAAACTTGATGCCTTGTGGCTTTATGCCTTGGTCAAAATATAACTGCCATCTGCTACTTCAAACAGAAGCTGTAAGTGTTTTAATAACAATTTTAGCTGGTTAATTATAATTATTGTAAACAACTTACTTTTACCAAAAATTATATTGCTAAAATGTATATTCTAACCAATGTTTCTAAAAAATCGCTTTGGTTTTTTCGTAGCTTCCGTAATTATAAGCTGTTTCTGAAAACAAGAACTAGCTGTGTCCATAGGCTTACGCTCTGCTACCACGTAAAGGCAGTTTTCATCCCTAAGCCGTTACATGGTAGCAGATCGAAAGCCGCTAGACTACGCTTTCTCTGGTTTTTTAGGCAGAACGTAAAAGGAAATCTGAGCAAAATATTAAAGACTCGTAAAAATATAAGAATTTATAAAAAATATAAAAGTTTTAGTTTCAGTTGCATGACAAAAATGTTTTAAGTACGTGTACAATACTTAAATATTCAGTTTTTGCATGATGCTGCTATGATAATCTTTAGTGCGTTTCTAAAAGCAAATGTAAAACCAGAAATCATTTTTAAATGCACCAGTGTATGTGCAACTTAAACTTTTTATGCATAATATATATGCAGTATGCGCCGCTTACCACCACAAAAACTATTGCAATACAGACTTGCAGTATCGCGGTGGTGATATGCATATTTTCATAGTTTTTTACATTCCTTTACTCGTTTTTAGCCGTTATAGCCGACTTATTGTTAGCTCTAATTGTGCGCGAAGTGTTTTATCCTGTCATACTTTTGATTAATTGTAGATTTATTTAGCAGTTAGTGAAGAAAACAGATTACTAAGCAATTAGACTACAACAGCATTTTATTCAGCAGCAAATTGACTAGTAATGCAATATGACACAGCGAAAGAATATAATAATTATTAAGTAAATAGGTGCAAATATTTTGCTTTACTTACTGGAAATAAGGATAATTGTGCCGATCCGTTCATTACTCAAGACTTCTTTGAGATTGTGCAGCAGCTGATAATGCGACTTCTGCTGTGACGAACCACCAGCATTTCCGCTGAATTTTTCACACACAATATCCACACCTGCAATCGCACCAGCGACGCTGCATAATTCTCGCCATACACCGACACGTTATGCTCCATCAATCAAAATATCACTTACAGTTGAACTCCGTCGGAAACGGATATCCGGCGCTGGATTTGTTCAGTCCGCACAGCGTATCGTAGAAACAGCTGACAGCATCACATCTCTGTCCGCCGCAGAACAAGCGTATCCGATTTTTCGGGTTCAGCGTAATCCCGTAGCCACTAAAGATGTCCTTGATAATACTGACACACCGCGGCAGATCAAACCGCGTCAACGCCACCGGTGTGGCATCCTCCAGATCCCAGAAGCAGCGCACATGCGCCGTTCCCGCCAGATCACCAATCTCCACGGGCATTTTTGAAACAAGTGAAGATTCAACGGAAAAGCAGCATTTCCGCACGCTACGGTTTTCTGATGGTGCTATGCAACACTAGGCATTCTTTCCCGCGGCGATTGCTAACGTGCTGTCAAGTGGTGAAGGTGCGGTACACTGTATATGCGGCATTGGTACGTGCCATCGTGTAAAAACCGGAATGCAGTGAGGATTTTATTGCGGTGGCTGGAAAGCGAGAGTGTGTATATATTATACGATTGTACCCAAGTGATGGTGGTACGCATCTTTAAACAGCCGTTTTCATTGTTAATTTATCACGGGTGTAAAAAGAACCGTTTTGATGGTAGCGCACATGTGTGCAGTGTATTTGATCTTCTGCCAACGTTGCATGTCTGCAGACTGGCATTATACTTGCATAAACATTGCGCTTGCATCGATTAGTCATGCATTCATTAATACCAATTAGATATGCGAAAACGCCGGTTTCTCTGACAAGCGCATGCATAAACAGCGATAATGAAAACATTTCTTTGGGATGTCAACTACTGTACTATGTAGATAGAGCGATAGAGAACATAATTATGTGACAGCAAACGACAACATAGTTGTACCGAATTTTAAAAATTAATAGTCAAATTCATAGAATAGTCATGGGTCAGCACAGTGATAAATAATCATGAAATATTATGGCAGCCATCGAAATATGAGCAATTATTGTAAAAACAACTGGTTTTAATTCGTTACTAACAAAGACATAAACTCCCATCCCTTATCAGCTTTGCAGTTATGCATTGCATACTCGTACGCTGATAATCGGCCACAAGTATAGTAAATTCGCTGCGGAGTGCAGTGCACGTGCCAGTGAAGACATTTTCAAAACAGTACTCGGAAGTCTGTCAATGAACCGAATAACCGATAACAATGTTGCTCGCATTAAGCCTCAGCACTGTGGGATGGATAGGCAGATTATGATACTCGTATTTATATCATCACACCTTGCCATTTAATTAAATGCATTGGCCAGTGACTCAATACTGAAAATATTTTTACACAAAGAAATTAAAATTGCGCTCATCATGACAATTAATGCATGCCACATTTATCTACAATGAAATAAACAGATAAACTGAGATTGCCCAGGCTGATGACCATAACTCTGTTAGGCAAATGTATATCAAATTTCACGAGTATATAAGCCTACTCTACTTGTTTGTAGCGGAATTAAAGTGCTTTTAAATCCAGTTAATTTTAATACGCTAATTATAAAGTTGCGTGTACAAGTTTACATCGAGTTACGCAGGATTTTGTTGAAGTCAAGATGGCATCCGGACCACCAACCGATCCCAACTACGACAAAGTCTGTGTCCTGTGGGATATTGAGAATGAAGCCGTCCCCCGGACACTGAAACTGGACCAGTGCACGAAAATTCTCACCCGTGGTGTGATGCGTGAGAACGGCTTTACGCTGAGCAATAACCAGCGCATTCGGATTGTCTGCGGCGGGAAGCAGCAGGATTGTACTGCCACTGCCTGTCGTTACCAGTATCTTTCTACAGGAGGAACGATTGTACATGCTGGCCCGCCACGAATCCAGTCCACCCCAGTAGAAGGTTAGTCAATTAAGTTTAAACTTTATTAATTAAGTTTGATGAAAAAATTTATTTTTAGGGTCTGTATCCAGTTATTCTTAAAAAAAGTTTGTTTCATCTTTAATGGAACAGGGGATGCATTTCGTATATAGTGCACAGACATTAAATTGCGCAATTTGTAACTGATAATTATACTCGAGTGTGCTGTTATTAGGAGTGGACATCACGTGCGGTTGGCGAGCGAATGGACTTGATGCCACGGCAGACAATTATATCATCGACCATTTGAACAAGTACTTCCAGTTGAACCAGAATGTCACGGTTATCTTGTTCACCAGTAAGGGCGTAATAATTTCATAAATTACTTTTTACATAACAGTGATTAACTCTCACAAATCATTAAAAATAATCCATACAAAGCAGTTGTAAGGATTATCTTTGTAGATGATGATAAGCTGCGTAAGCGAGCCAAGGACCTGGAAATCCAGAATGTTTACCGCGGGAACAAAGTTGTACTGCATCCCAAGGACGTATGGGATTTGACCCTTCTGACTGACTAACCTTGCCGGCATGTTGTTGGCGCAAATTTCAGCCGATACACACATTTGTACACTTTTCTATGAATATTTTATAATTTTCTTACCGTTCGTTGATTGTTGCCGGTATGGTTTAATTAATTTTGCACGAGCGTGTGTGTTGCTGCGACTGTTACTGGTAAATGGCCGCAATGATGCGTGTCCGTGCGCTCTCAAACAGACGTTTGGGAATCGACCCGCTCCGCATCACTGCCCAATAATGCACAACAATAACCGTAAACATCCTCCAAAAGAATGGCCGCGTAATGCGCCTGATTCTTGGTCGGTTGTATTTATGTTCACCCTAGTATAGATAATTTACGGTACACAACTGGTTTTTTTTAAATGACTAATGAGTAAAATGATAATTGGATCCGCTTGTTGGGTTTTTCTTCGAAAGCGAATCATATTGTCTGACGGAACAATTCTTCAGCCGCTGTCTGACTTTCTGTGCGGCGCGCAGCTGTTCGAGTTATTTCGCTACAAAGAATGTTTTTAGCCGTATTCACATGCCGCATATAATTATCACAATATTTTACTGGATAATTCAATAGCGCTTAAATAACGGCGTCCCTGCCATACTATGGCCAATATGGTTGTGATAAGATATTTCTGGATTTTTATGATAATAATTTCACAGGTACGTGGAAGTGTATGCCCATGAGAAAACTGTTGAAATTCATACACTATAAAATTTTGGGTTGAAATATATGCGGACAACCTAACCGTCGCAATTTTATTAAACGGCTTCTTGCAAACACAGCGTAAATTTGACTACTTTTGTGGAACTATTTATATAACTACTATACAGAGTAAATGCTCCCTTGTGATAGCTGATAAGTATCTGTACGCTATATGACAAACGACAATAATTCTAAATATAACTGTTTTCATGAATGCAGACTGAAATATTCATAATTTATCATAATCAGACTAATCCTTAAATTTTATTTTTGATTCCCTGCAGCTCGTTTTCATCAGATGTGATATAGCTTCCACTAGAGATGCCGTGGCTGCTTCTGCAGCAGGTAAACTGGAAAAACTGCATTAAACGTGCGCGTGCTCTTTAAATAAATAACTAATCATGCTGTAATTTGTGGCTAAAGAGGTTCTAAATCACCCGGCAATCAATCATCAATCAACCAATGACAGCCTGGTAATGATTGCATCATCACCACAAGAGCGTGATGGATTATTATCGGATGTCGTAACACCGCTGTGGAAGAATCTTGCCGGTATGTATGTCGCTGAGGTAAAAATTATTTCATCATAAGAAAATTTATGTACTCAGTAAATGCAGTTTTTTTGTCTAGGATCAAAATCGCAAGACATAAAGCTGTCGATAATCAGCGATAAGCCGTGGATTACATCGGTTACGCCAGACGGCAAAGCCGTGCGGTTTGTTACGTATTTGGCTAACATCAGTTCCTACGAACCGCTTGATTTGGAAAATATTAGACGGCAATTCCGCGAGGAGGTCGTACGGCAAAAACTCCCGTACGTTTGGGCGGTACCGGATAACGACAACAACACCATTCTCTTATCGGTAACCGGCACCACGACACCGACATCGCCGTTAGCCGGGAACACCAGCGAAAACGCTAATATCTTCCCACTACAAAGCGCCGCTATCAATACGACCGGCAACGCCATTAAAAGTCAACCAGACTCGTACGCAACGACAACCGCTACGACGGGGGCGGCTTCTGTTTCAAGGCGCCGGCGACGAAGAACAACAGCGGCGAATGGCGGCGCAACGGAGGCGCCCAACCCGTTCATTAATTTCACGGTACCGGCGGATTGGGCGGGCAACGATATGCTCAACCAGATGAAGACCACGTGGCCGGGACTAGCGCTGTTCTCCAATGAATCCTTACCGAATGGATATGTTGAGTTTAGTTTCCGCAATCCCAATGTTACATCACCATCCGTTGACCAGGCGACACTAGTGACAAATGCGTTATCGGAAAGTACGACACCAGCGACATCTTTACAGCAAGTAACATCCGGACCACTGGCGGTTGGCTCGTCGGAAGCGTCAACATCACTAACCACTGTTTCAGGCGAACAAGTGACAACGCGTTGGTCCCGCCGGGCACGTCACACGACACTACCAGCGAGCGTGGCGCAAGTTACTGTTGCGCCGCAAAATACAGGGACAAATATCAACTTCTCGGTACCGGCAGATTGGCCGGGTAACGACGTACTCCACCAACTGAAATCGGCGTGGCCGGGTGCGGCATCCTTCTCCAATGACACCAACGCGGTACCCAACGGCACCGTCCTGTTCAGTTTTGGTGATCATAATGCGACGACTGGTCCCTCGGCGGTTGGTGACCTTTCTGTCCCAACGACGACGCCTGCCGGCAGCTTCTTAACCACCAAGCGAAAGCGCATTCGGGTCGGGGGGTTCGCGGCGTCGTCCGGGTTCACCGGTCCGCTGGGATCCGGAGCTAGCGCCATGGCCGGCGGTTTCCGGACTAATGATAACCCGCTGATTAGTAACTACACCGGGGATTTCGGGAGCGATATCGTTCCGGTCGGCGGCGAAATGAATCAAATAATGTCCACCTCTGAGGCTCCGCTTGTACCAACCACCCTTGAGGCAGGGCTTCCGTCGGCATCAACTACAGCTGCTCCATCGACTACCGGAAGGGGTGCACAAAAAGTGACCACACCGAGACGACCGTCGCCGATGGATAATAATTCACCGATTGCGTTTGAATCCAATCCGAACCCACTGGTCAGTGATTACACCGGGGATTATCGGAGTGATATTGAGCCGGTGACGGTGAGTTCGCATGATGCGCTGGGATCCACGGTGACGTTCGGTCCGCCGGACGAACAAGGCATGCAAATTGTGGCCTTTAATATTGGGGATATTACCATTGTTAGTGTGGAGAATACGAAGCAGCGGGACGAAGTGCTCAATAAACAGCTGAAACCTCTGTGGCAGAATGCACTTGGTACGTAACTGCAGCGCTATGGTATAGCAACAGCTATATTATTGAGGTCACTGCCAATGTCTGTGCTGATCTATCTTAAAAACTTCTTTTTTTAAAACCTAAATTATTTTGAAATGTTGCGCTGGTTCTAGAACACAGACATCTGACCTTTTATTATAGGTCCTAATGTTTCTAATGTGGAGTTAAGTATCGACAGCGAAACGCCGGTACCCAGCAAGAACGGCACTAAAGCCAGACAGATCAGTTATTCCGCCCAGGGCACATCCGACACGCCGGTTCCGGTTGACCAGGTACGCGACCAGTTCCACCAGGAAGTCGCTAAAGCGAATTTACCCAACGTTCTGGCCGTACCCGATTCTTCGGGGAATCTGCAACTGTTACCGGCCGGAAAGGCAGCCGGAATTACGGTGCCGCCACCGAGTGCCACCACGCCTTTAAGCGTAACGGAATCGCTTCGCCCTCCCACTGCTAACATAAGTGTCGATGAAACCACGCCGGAATCAGGAACGTCGATGCCGGAAGTCACAACCGAAAGTGTAGAAGAAACCACAACGTCGCCGGCAAATATCACCGTGAATGTAACCACAACGAGTCCAAACGGTACACTTAACGAGTCCGTCACAACTATCGCTCCAAATGCGACTGTCGATGAATCCAGTACTGCTATTTCGCTGGATACAAATACCACCGTAACGCCGGCCGTAACAACTACTCCAATCAACGAAGAAAATGTTACGTTGTCCAATACGACCGGTTCATTAGAGTCTTCTTCCAATGAAAGTACAACGGTTTCTTGTGCAAGTTCACCGTTTGCCATCGAGGATATGCTGGTGATGTCATCTCGGACGCGCACTGCGCAACAGGAAGTACTTAATGGTGCCGTGTTGCCGCAGTGGCGGAAGGTATTCGGTAAGCGACTAAGCCGAGTGTCCTCGCAAGTCGCACATATTAACGATTGAAGAAACGCGTTAATTCAACAAAAAGTTCTGTTGTACGTGTAACATTAATCTGGTCTGGCAAATCTACAAGTAATATATAAACACATATTTATCCGTCCTATTCCAGCACATAATTTTTATTGATTATTTCATTTTTTTATAATTTTTTTTGGTATTTTTAACTTTTTAGATATTAATTATTTCTAATTATTTGATATCAATTTTCCGTTTGTATTTCGTATTTTTATTTAATTTCTTAAGTTTTTTTTGTTTGGCGTTTGTACCTAACTTTTTTATATTTTAACACATACCTTCACATTTTACGGAACAGGGTCTTGAGTCAGTGTTTTGATACATAGCGGGTTTTTTAGGTGACACGGCGGAAAATCTCACTGTGACGTACATCAAGGACGCGCGTCGTAGCAGCCCTCCCAACGTACGGGATGTTCAGTACCGCATTAACGGTGTCGGCAACTGCCGGTTAAACGTCCCGCAAGCCATGCTGGACTTCCACAACAACATCGCCAATGCATCCATCCCGGAGATTGCCGCTGTACCCGAAAGCGACGGCTCACTGAAATTTTGCCGGTATCCAACCACACAGATGCTACGACATCGACAACCATGTCGCCAGTTTTGAATCAAACAACCGCAAGAAAACTGCACTTCACCACACCGGCATGGGCGAAAAATCTTACGCCCCGGCAGAACGCTACAGAGAGTACAACGCAAGCACCAAATAGTACAGAAACATCAAGAGGTAGCGCTGTTATGGAGAACACTACCCTCGCTTTGAACGTTTCCAGTGCGATAACAACAGCCGCCAGTAACAACACCAACACAGTTAATGAACCTGTAAATAACGCTACAACTGCAGCGCCAAATGCCACAACTTCGGCGTTAAGTACGCCGCCATCTTTGACAACAACGACACCCCGCTGCCCTAATGATACATCATCCAATACAACGCCGGCGAATTTCCTTGGGAAACGGCCGATGTTTGCTGTGAACCTGCGAGCAGATCCAGAAATCTTTGAGCTGCTACAGACAATCAAGAGCCTGAAGCCGGTGCAGTCGTCTTTTGGTGTGCACAAGGTGGCCATTCACGGACGAATAGGAACGATCGCAGACGTTGAAAATGCGCTGCTTTACGCATGGACTCCTAGTAAGAAATGTAACTATAGGTTTTATAAAAGTTGGCAGTCGATTACAAATTAAGCATAATATAAATTTCCATTTTTTGAATTACCGCAGCAAGCCCAACCCAAAATTAGTAAACAAAACATAGATTACGAAAACGTTATTTTTAACCATTTTCGAGAAATAATAAAAAAAATTTTTAGGCGGGCTCAGCAATTTTACTTGTGCCAATTTTTAAAAAATCGCTTATTTATTAGCCGAAAGATGTGCAATGGCGGTTGCAAACGTTATTCTTGGGTTTTATGAGCAGGTGGAAAAACACCCGAGCAAAGCGGTTTGACAATCAAAATTATTTCCATAAACGATTACGGAACATTTTCGGAAAAAGGGTTAGTCGAATTTCCGGCCAAGTTTCCTTTACATGTTTAAATTTTGTGGCTTATGTGATTGTTTTGCTTAGGGAACCGGTTGTGGATATTGCCTACGTGGTCGGCATGAAACCGGTACCGATAACCGCTCGGAATAAGTTTACGTCGTCGTCTATTGTCATTCGCGTTCCCACGACTCAAATTATTGGATCACGTCTGGCGGAACGGAATATCTCCATGTGCTCCTGCAATGTCTACCGTGGTGAGCTGCTGCATATCAAGGAAATTTTTGATTTATCCGCAAATGTGTCCTCATATGTCGACGCACTGCGCAATGCTTGGGAATCCCATAAACCGGTATCAGCATGTGGAGAAAGCGTGGTTAAGGCTTTTGGTGGCATACCGGTCACGACGATACAACCGGAAGGAGCCAGGTACGTTAAATGTAATAATAATTATGCAGCGGGACAGTTATTCGAAGCGCAAGTAACCGTTTTGTTTTAAATATGTATCTGTATTTACTGTATGTATGTAAATATAAAGCCGTACGATTTCGATTTTAGAATGCGCTTTACAACAATCCCATACTTTGTCACATCAAACGACAAACCGTGGAACCACCCAGAAAGCAGACCGGACCAATCCGAGTTGTCGAAGCAGTTACACGAGAAAGGGTTAAACAGTGACCTTTACGACGGTACTGCCCCGATCAGCAAGGATTTATCGTTTGTGGATTACTTGAACGGTTCCATTAGCTTCCAAGAGATTCCAAAGGTCAATACCGAATTAGCCGATTACATTTCGAATGCAACTGGTAAGCCCATGTGTAACCTTCGCAACCAGTAAAATTTAAGGCGTGCTTTGCAGATCAATCCCCTCTGAAACCAATATTGTGGAATTTGGAGCCGTTCATAAATTCGAATGGGTACTAAACGATCTGGTTTACGATAACCAAAGAAAATATTGTGGACTGTTTTACAGGTCGATTGTCACACAAGAAGGCTTTTTCATTGTTCTTCCCAATAATCGCACGCTGGACCCGCGGTTGTTTTACGCCGATGCCATAAAAGATACTATGAAAAACCGATCGAGCGAAACGCTCGTCCCAAATCCGATCATTCCGTTGTACCTTAAAGGTCAACTACAAGAAGAGCAATGGCCGACAATTATCAACAGTTTAAGTAGCGTACAACCAAATTCCAATTTTACTGTCGTTGGAATGGAGTACGGATTACAAGCGTTCGATAATTCAACGTAAGCATTGTCATGTTTATAATTTTAAAGGATTTGATGAAATTGTGAAGTTGTACAGAAGAGACGTAACCGAAGTTTTGGTGTCGACCGCACTGCCAAATGGTGATTCCGAAGTTCTACCGGAAATTTTCTCCACCCTCGCCAAGACACTCTACAGTGACCTTACGGCGGATGCGCTAGACACCGCTCTCTCGAACCTCAATATGTCTGTTTGCCGAAATTGTCAGTATTCCAAACTGCGAATGCTGAACCTGCTACGCACGGGAACGGACGTTGATCCGAAGCAGAACTTGGTATTATTTGAAATCCTCTACTTTAAGCGTATAGTTTTTACAAAGCAGTTTTGTTGACTACCGTAATAGGGAACCGACGTCATACTGAACCGCATATCGTCGTCATGGAATGAGAGTAATGCTGTGACGAATGAAGGAATTCCGTTGAATGTTCAACTGATTGGTCGGGATGACATGCTAGCGAATGAGAACGGGTAACAATAACAACTTTGGTTGGGCATAAAATAAGCAATCTATTTAATTTCGACTTGCAGAACTTTGGTCTCGCAATTTTCTTACTCGGTGGCTTATCCCAGTCCGGCGAGACACTGGTATATTGTCAGGGAACCGACACCGGAGCTGTTCAACAAGGCATTCGCTGATCTTCACGTTGAACCGTTTGCTGGAGCACTGGTTCATCTTTAAAATTTGCTTAGAAATTGGCAGTATTGTGTTCAAAACAATTCTACTACAATTGTGTTTGTTCACGTGTTAGCTCTGTTGCACAACTTTGGAGGGACGTTAAATAATTCTACTACAGTGAGCTGATTAAAGTGCTAATATACTCAAAGCATTTGGGTGCTTGCTTGAACACTGCCACTTACGCAATAGGTTTCAAATTTTTCGATACACTTAAATCTTAAAGCTCGAGAACTTAGCAGCGAAAAATTTTATCGTCGTTCACGATTGCAAATATGTAGTAAGAAATCAGAGCCTGGCGATTTTGTTCGATGACTTTTCGCAGCATCCGACGGAAGAAATAATATCAAGCGGATCCCTCAGATTCACATCGCTTATTTCTAAATTCTTGGATGATTTTTCCTTGGGGTGTGGTGATTTCTTCCATCATTAAGTCAGTCGTGGGGAAGAATCGACCAAGATAAGGACTAGTAGAATTCGGCTTGACAAATGCAAAATAACCTTCCCACGACTGTTCGTCATCATACCGGTACGCTTGGACCGTAATGGCTGCCTTTTCCGGGTTGACATTGTATAGCTTTCGCGTCTGGTACAAATCTGGAATTTTCCAGCTAATGTTGCCAGCATGCAGTTCTTCCGACCTAAACATTACCGGCTGATCGTAGCAGGCGTTGACAATCGGGTTGTACCATTCCAGTTTAATCGGGCCTTGGAGGACTTTGATCACCTCCGTCATGTAGGCGTGGTTATGAACGGAACTGTGATGACCTTTGGCCATACCTCCAAAGTCATTCTCCCACCAGTCTGATTGGAACCCAGAAAGCGAATGTAATGATAGAATTTCTCTACGTTATCACGCATTGCCATTGTCTTGTTACTGATGATGTTGGCCAGCGTACAACCCGCTGTTTCTAAGGAATAGTTGATAGCGTCCAGTTGATCCTGGGTAAGCGTAAACGCAGTGACATCCTCCACAAGCTCACCAAGCACTGGACCGGCCTGAATTTCTTGCATAAGCTCCACGAAACCGCGGCGTGAATGCGGATCAATAAATGGTTTCGCGTCGGCGACTACTGGGCGTCGATAATACCTCGGGATACCGACAATGGAGATTTCGTCTTCCACGCTCAACGTAATCGCATGGAGTGTGTCATCGCGAGAACCGTTAATTTTGGAGACGAAGTGAAAAGGGTGTTTTGCGTTAGCGGCTCGCCGTAACCAAATTTAATAAAAGGCTGGATGCCCCGAGCGCGGCGGCTGGAAAACGACACCCAGTGTGTTTGCTCGGAGCAGTTTGAGTGGATTAGGCTGTACGTGGGTTTTTGGTAAACTTTTTTCTCGTAGCTTTTTGCATGCTGATCGTCAAAATAGACATCAAAATCGGATACATGAAGAGTTATTTCGCCTAGTGGAAGGCGATAGGACGTCTTCTGAGGCGGTAGCGGTTTTATGGTGTATCGAACCGTGCTGTATTCTATAAACCAATCACGTTTTATTTACTGTAAAATCAGATCTTATAAGAACACGGCTTTAGAATAAGACCTGTGCAATTTTTTGCTAATAAAATAAGGCAGCTGGATAGAATTATGGGCTTGAATTATGGAATTATAGAATTATGGAATTATGGAATTATGGATTTTGGGCTGGATAGGATTATGGGCCAACGGAGCACCCTGGCAAGTCCCTCTGCCTGTTGCAACGCTTACGGCTACATTCCGGGAACTGCGTCGCTACTCACATACTCTGTACATGCCATAGAACTAGAGTCCTTACAAGTTACAACTATGAACGATCAATACAATTGTACCTGCTGCTGCGGGCACGCTTAGATTTTGGGAAGCCCATATCCGGCCACAGCTGAGGAAGACCAATAACACAAAAACAATATATTGCGACATAATTGCAGATTTTTTAGGCTTCAGCGGTTATCAGTGCAAAGGCAATCAGCAGCCGAAGAACTTCGAAACCACTATATTGCGACTGAAAAAAAAATTTTGAGGACGGTCCAGGCAATTAGGACTGTATGCGATCGAATCATAGATTTAACCGTAACGTTGGGAGTTAATAATGTCAAAAGTATTTGTATTTGCGGATTAGAGCGTCGATAAACTTTTATCTTTGTAAAGATTTTGTTATCAGATCTGAAAAACAGCAGGTGTTACAATACAGGGAACAGACCAGCAAGGTGGGCATGAAACAGTACTGTCGGCGAGCATGAATAACTATCCTGGCGAAAAGAAACGCATTTTCATGTATAATATTCAGCGTTCGGCTTATTACGTACTGTCTGTTTCAAAATGGTAAACAATAAGCTTTTTAATATCAAAACAGAGCTTCGTAATATCAAAACTTTAGTCAACAGACTTTCACAAAAACTTGGTTTTCCACACATTTTTTAAACTTATACAACAAAAAACTTATACAAACAGAATCTCCGCTGATTTTCGAATTTCGTTTTGTATGGCTCCACTATGATAAAACGTACCTGTGAAATACAGGATACAAGGCGATTAAAGAAACGATCTATCTTTACTCTCTATGTTATCCTATCGACATTACACATAACCACAAAAGACTGAAGACAGCAGGCTACTTATTTATTATTTCATTTATTTCAACTTGAATGAGATAGCCAGTTTCCGGCTAGGGTGACATGCTAACATGCTTAAATGGACACTGTAAAAATAAGATACGCTAGTGGGAATGGTTAACATAATTACATGCGATAGCTTAATATCGTCATGGAGAACAGATTTTTCATAGTTTTCGTTAAGCAACTAGCTACACAGTGTTCACGTGTGGCTGGCACTCGTACATTCGCTAACGGGAACTTGGCAATAAGGCTGTTCATGGTCGTTTAGGCTCCATCTGTATCATGGTGACTGCAGTACGTACAAGCGCCTAAGTGCACGACATGAAAATCTTTGCCACATTATGTTCCCGTCAATAGCAGCAGTCAACTTTATGTGGTAATACTATTCTACGATCCAAGTTTTGATTAGTTTAGTAATCCACCGTAGCAAAATCCAAATGTTATTTCAGACTCATTAAAATAATTTCTTGATAGCCTTCTGGACTTCCGGAAGGCTTGCATGATAAATTAGGGGATTGAAAACGCAGCTGAGATACATTAAGCAGATGGAAATTTGGAACAGGGTAACGTTCCAGTAAGCCATAAAATCCACGACTAAAAAGTAAATCATGGGCGGAATGAAGCAGATCAGAACGCATAGTGCCAGCAGAGCAAACAGACTGAACATTCTCTTTTCGCCGTGGTGCTTTTGTTTAGCGGATTTGGTTTCCGGAACCGTTTCTCCGGTACCGTAGGCGGACGCTTCTTGCTTAGACATGGCTAGCGCTGCAACAGCAAAATGAAAACCGGCGTCATCGACAATATTCAAGTACTCCGTATTTTAGTAAACAGATAATGCTAGAAATTTTAGGCAAAGTCAGTCTTCGACTATGTACTGAAAAGGTCAGTAATAAATTTTACCCCATAATACAGTACACTCGTATTTAATTTAAGCCCGTCACTTACTGAAAGCGTTTGACGTGTTAGGTGCAGTTACTACACGATTCTTCAACAATTTCCGCAAGGTTCGACGAAATAATTTTGTAAAGATGACAATATAGCTGAACAAAACGAATACCGGCGGCACATCGTAACCAATAAACTCGACTACCAACGAATAAGTGTGCTGAGCTCCGAAATTCACCGCGCACGGCAGGGTCATCCGATTATACCACAGGGCATCCATCACAATGAACGGCGCCAGCAGTGCGACTATCAGCAACCACATCACAGCACACACCACGCAAGTAAATTTCACCGACCGAATATTTCTGTATTGAACCGGTGCGAACATGGAAAGCAATCGGTCAATACTGACCAGCATTACCGCGCAGCCGGCACCGACGAAGAGATGTTTGGCGAGAAAATTATAGTATGGGCAGTATGCCGCGCTGGAACGCGGCGATACGGTGAACCAGACGAAGCCGGTCATGCTGAACAAGGCCAGACCAAGGTCACATATGGACACGTTAAGGAGATAGTACGTGAACGGATTGCGTACTGCGGCATCTTTCACAAAAGCGCAGATAAATAGAACGTTGTATAAAGTAGTTGCAACGCATATGACGGATACAACGATTACGACAGGATACGGGATTGATGCTGATTTAATTACGGCAGTGCCATTGTTGGCAACAGAATCGCCCAGCGAGCGGTTCATTAGCAATGAGATGTTCATATTCTTTTCAGTACTTAACTGCTTACTGAGTTAGCAACAATTAGGAGCCGACCAGTTTTATACATCCAAGGTCGTGCGCTTGCTCCCGAAAACACCAACTGGATGCATATTTTCAATGATAGGGCTCATAGGGATACGAGTACCAAATCTATAATGTACTTTGTAAGTGCTAACACCAAACGCTTGGATCGTTTTTCCGTAAATGAGCGCGCCCACGCGCATAAATGGAAACTAAGACAAATGAAACCATAAGACCAATGCGATCTGCGCAGCTGGTTTTTAGAACATATGTTAAACCTGACACTTTAACACCTACACCTTGAACGTAGTTTACTGGCGTTGAATGTCTTTTACATTCGACTGCTTGACCTCGATTCCGCGTTCACATTTTCTCTGTTTCACTTTTCAACGTTTTGTCGCAGTATGAACTATGAAGGGGTTCGGTTACTGAGAGCCTACCGGGGGTCATGTGGCTGAAATTATTTTGTGGAAATCCCCATACATAGTTCATGTGATGTCAGTGGGTTCCGGTTTGCAGAATTACTAGATTTCATTAATTTTTTAATGTTGTGCAAAACCACATGACGAGAGGTTGCAGTATTCATTTAAATATGATGTTGTTCGCCTCGTTTCTCATACGCGTAAAAACTGTTCAATGATCCCACCAAGTTCAAGAGGCGACACAAGTGACACAATACAAAATGATCACTTCATGATATTACTGCATATTTACTAACTGCATACAAGCTCGAAGCTTTAAGTGCAAATGGAAAAACATAATCGCTGAAACAAAAATGGTACTGGTATCTACATATATGAACAAAACGGTTTATTTATACCGGTATGTACTACATGTATAATACTGTATAATATTATTCAAGTACAGTAACCCTTTTTTCCTTACCCGAGAGTAGAATAGTGGTTGAAACACTGGGTGCTTTTGGCCCGGTTTTGGGCGCAACACATTCGTCCCGCATGCAGCTTTGTATAAGATTTATTTATCGCGGATAAGATTTATTTGTGTATCGCGGATAAGATTTATTTATAAATTTTAATATTCCACCCATTCTTCACAAGCTTAACCGTAACGCCCATGGGTTTAGTCTGCGAACAAGAACATGCACAATGCAGGACCATATCAATTTTACAAATGGTGCCAAATTACGATGAAAGATGCTTCAATTAAGTAATAGCAGAAAAATACAAATAACATTCACTTCCAGTTTCATGCACGTCGAAGCAAACTCTTTATAGCTTTCCGAACTTCCGGCAGACTAGCGTGATAGATCAGTGGATTGAATGCGCAACTGAGGTACATTAGAGCGACGGAAATTTGGTACAGGGTAGCGTTCCAGTAGGCCATGAAGTCAACGACTAAATAGTAAACCATGGGCGGAACGAAGCAGATCAGGACGCATAGTGATAGCAGTGCAAAGAGACTAAACATCTTCTTTTCGCTCTGTAGTGGATTCTGCTTAGCGTACTGGGCTTCCGGATTCCTTTCCTTTGTGCTTGGGGTGGATGCATATGGCTTTGAAAGGGCTGAAATCGAGGAAAAGTTGACGCTATAGACAAATTATTATATTCCATTTCAACATCACCTTATACTAACCAAATATGTTCACCTTATACTAACTCTCTGTGAAATTGTGAACTGATTCTCGTTTTTCGAAGCTGATTCTAGATGGGTTCCTGAGATTTCATATCGTTTACATTTCCTGGCAGATTCAAGATCAAGAGTATACTTTATAGAATGTAAAAGTATTATACTGGACAGGCCAGTATAAGAAAAACCTTCAAAAGCAGAAAATGTGTTACAGGTAAGTACACTCGCACCTACCGAAAGTCTGCGATGTATTCGGGGTAGGTAATACCCGCCTTTTCAATGTGCGCAACGTTCGACGAAATAATTTCGTGAATATGACAATATAGCTGCACAAAACGAAGATTGGCGGCATATCGTATGCGAGAAGTTCGATCACCAACGAGTATGTTCGCTGCGCTCCATAATTCACCGAACACGGCAGGCTCATCCGAATATACCACAGCGCATCCATCACGATGTAGGGTGTCGTCAGTGCGAGTATCAGCAGCCACATTACACCACACACGATGCCAGTAAATTTTACTGATCGAATATTTCGATAGCGCACCGGTGCGAACATGGACAGCAACCGGTCAATACTGACCAGCATCACCGCGCATCCGGCGCCGATGAAGAGATTTTTGCCGAGAAAATTAAAATACGGACAGTATGCCGCGCTCGAACGCGGTGACACGGTGAACCAAATGAAACCGGACATACTGAACAACGCCAAACCAAGGTCACACACGGACAAGTTAAGAAGATAGTACGTAAATGGATTTCGGACTGCGGCATCTCTTACGAACGCGCAGATAAACAGAGTGTTGTAAGCGATAGTTGCAACGCATATAAGGGATACCACGGCGACTAATGGATACGGGACTGATGATGTAACTGCCTCCGTTGCATTGTGGGCAACAGATTTGGTTAGTGCGGGAAATAAAAGTCTTGAATTATTCATGTTAAAGCATTACGTTCATCATTTTTCTCAGTAGGATTTCTGTAATTTAGCAACAAAATAAATAGAAGACCTGCTTGATCGGCATTCAATCACGAGATGAGGTGCATGCTTCGATTTGTTCTAGTAAACGTTCTTGCAACAACCTGACCAGTGAGATGTGTCAAAGCCCGCAAAGGGCACAGTCGACTGGTGGAACTTTTGTGACAACTGACATTTGAAGTTTTGTATCCGACGCTTCTGGGAATTTTATTCATCGTGATACAGAAGAAAGCGTCATACGATTTGGTTGTCTTTCAAGCTTGATCGTCCATAGCCTACTTTTCGCATCCTGTTGTTTCCGGTTTCTGCTTGTTTGACTTCCTATGCTAGAACAGAAAATGTCACAGGAGAACGGTACTCAAATTTCTTTCTGTGCAGCAGGCGTTATGATTTAGAAATTGCAAATGATTCGTAAATTTACGAATCATTTGCGATTTTCAAATTATAGCGCCTTCTAAGGTAACCCAACTAAGTTATTACGCAAATAAGCATTATGCAAATAAGTTATAATACTATTAAGCTATCAGCGGCTTCCATGTTGCTGCACCACCAAACTTATATACATTTAAAAAAATCCCATAAAATGGCATTACGAAGTTTATACTAATTCACCGAATTTGCCATGCCTTTTTGTAATTGCTGCTTCTACACGCCACCAGCCAGTTGACCCGTTTTAGGTACTCGTACTTTAGAAAATCTTTGCACAAGAGCGGTTTACAGTCATGGCATCGATTGTTACAGAAATCAAGATATCAAGAAAGGGTATAATTACAACTGCCGTTGTTAATTTTATGATAACCCCAATGTGTCCAGATAAATGTCAAAAGACCATTGCAAAACCTTAACAAAACCTTAACAAAACCATTGCACTGATACTGATCAACATAATCACAGCGAACCATTCAGCTCGAGTCAGGTGAAAGGTACAGAGCAGCTGTGCAATAAAGGTACTTACGTATATTTTTCGTTGCCTGCTTTTTTTCTACCTGTCGTTCTTCGTGACAATAGAGGAGAGAGGTTAAAAAATGGATATTTTTCAGGTGACTTCTTTTGGGAATGCTCCCCACCAACTGAATTTATGCCACAGTAGTTACGCTTTACATGCATTTGGCAATGGCATTGCTGATGCATGCCAAATATCGATTTGAATTATAAGCTATCCATACAAATTATAAAACATAAACTGTTCTCCCTTATAATAATTATCTTACAATCTTGAGAGGAGTCTATTTGTCACTGTGGTTCGGTCGCTCAGAGCGCAACTTTTGCGGTAAATATCTTTGCATTAAAAATTACAGGGCATATAAAGAAACATAAGCAGTAGTCACCCAAGAAACAATGCATGCAAACGCGAACCTATTACTTACTACTCGGGTAGGACATAGGCACCGCCTTTCCCCTCCGAAAAATTTCATCTCGTTTGAAGAGAGAATCGGTACGCGGAATACTTAACAAATACTTTTATCGGCACTGGTCCAGTGGGCCTGGTAAAAAACCAGGGTACAGGTATCGTATGTATGGGCAATGTACGTTTTGCTTACGTACCATATATATTACTGTAGTTTTACTGGCAAAACAAGAATACCTACGCCTACGTCCGGTGCTACGTCATGAGAAGGCAAGCCAGCCATCTGCACGATGCTTTATGGCTCGTAGGCTCCATTGGTTGCCATGTTAAGCGATTTTAAGTTTTAGAAGCTTAAAATGAGCGGGCTATAGCTTGAAAGAAAGAGAAAAAATTTCTAAGATTTTCGATGTATAATATGTTTGCAACTGAAGTCGATTAAATGTTGTAAAAAGGTCTCAGAATGTATGAAATTAGCACACAACGGTCGCGCGGTCTGGACCGACCGTTGCATTGACTTCGTATGCTAACTCGGCTTGACTTCGAAACGTTCTAAAAACTCCATTTCGCTTTTATGACTGAAGATATTTGCATCATAAAACTTGAAATTTTTTTCTCTTTCTTTTGAGCTATAACTCGGTGATCCAACCGCACGGGAAGTGAAATACGTTTACCGTAGCAGTCTATGTAGCCTACGAGCCTTAAAGCACTGCGATAGCGGGCTGCTTGCCTTACTGTGACGTCACCAACGGCGCGCGTACGCCTTCTCTTTAGTACCGCCATGGTAGTAATCATACGATAAGTACCTGCCTCCTCTATACTGAAACTGAATTTTGGCCACACCCACTGGACCATTGCCGATGAAAGTATTTTTTACGTGTTTCCCATACGGCTATACCTGTTCTCTCTTCAAACAAAAAGGGAAATTTTTTGGATGAAAAAGGCGGTAATTAGGGCCCTAATTACTCGTTAGCACTTAGCAGTCAGAATTTGTGAAGCAAAAAACATAGTATGCATGTTATCTTACCAAAAATTAGCTGCGTTGTTTCGTTGTCGTGATACAATCAACGCAGATAGTTAATACATATTACATACTAAACTACTCGATCCACAACAAACTGATGGCAATGGTTTTAATCGTCCAAAAATTCAAATGAGAAGAGCGCGCATTTTCGGCAACGTCGCAGCGCTTTTTATACATGCATGTACATACATATACAGATACAGTACAGCGCTGATTTGACATCACGGACATCAGGTTGAATGGATACATTCAAAAGAGCAAAAACAATATCATAATAATTAAAGCGATATTAAACAACTGAAAGTAAGAAAGCAGTAATGATCACATGCAAGCGTCTGATAATGATAACATGCAAGAACGTAATTGTAGGATGACAAGAATTAAACGCCGATGTTAATAATTGTAGTTGATCTAATGCAAGCACCTCGGTGGTCATATTCGACAATATTTTACTGTTAACACTGCCAGAATTTATAAACAAGCAACACGAAAAGTTATCGTGACTCGTTAGTATTATCCTCATGACTCATGGCGTCTATACAACGTCACAAAGTTCTGTACAGAGAGGCATCAAAATAGAACCGACTTATTAATTACAGCTCCCCTAAAATTTGCGAAAATAGCTCATGGGGCGGCAAAAAAATCACATGTGGAAGCAGCAATAATTACAAAGACATCGTAGAGCTAACGCATATAGATTCCCTAATAATGATGTAAAAACGTTTTTAATGTTAGCATCATACCGGCTGTTTACAGGAGCAAAAAGTAAATTGCCAGTATCATGCCTACCACCATACCGGCGTTGAACATGCCTACGAAAATAGTATACGAACGCCAGCCCCGCGGCGCGGAGCACTTAATGCATATTCCACCAGCCGGAGCCAATTTCGTGAATTCCAGCTCATCCCAAAAACCACGTTTTTTGCAGTGACGGTGGCCGTTAGAAGTGGACAATGTCTCATACTCCGCACCATAGGGAGCCAAGCGCGTCCAGAACAGTCCGGCAAAGACGGACTCGAAGAGGAAAACGGATGCAGTCAATACGTAGAAAGCCAGAATGAGGCTGTGCACGGACAACGGTCATGCCTTCCGCACGGCATCCTCCCACGGGTTATTATATTTGATGGTCGGCGCGGTATCGGTGTTGTTGCTGCGTTTCATAATGGCTTCCATCTCCTCTGCCAAGTTTTCGAGATACTCCGCCAGCGCCCGCTCGTAATAGCTGATGGTAAGCGATACAGCGGTGTCATTGCTGTGAGGGGGTATGGTGCTGATGTTCTGCTTCATCTCTTCCAAAAATCGCCGCATTGTGTCGACACCTTCTTGAGCCTTGACCTTTATTGGTTGCAGATTTTGAGCCTTAGCAATTACTGCTTGCACCTTGTCCATGAGCGCTTGTTCTTTTTGGAAGTAATTAGGTTCACGTGGGCCCACCAGGGCGTAATCGAACGAGCGTACCAGCAGTATCAGGCAGAGGGTGGCCAGCAAGCCGCACATAAAACGCATGAGCCACTTATGCTTGGAGGTCATGTGCTTGGTGCACTGGCGCGCGAAGAATCCGCCATGTTCAGAATGCAAACTGATAGCAAGGACGAACAGGAAAGTGGCGACAGACGGATTCACGGGGGTGCGTGGGTAGATTAATTCAGGCAGGCCACTGACTGAAAATACAGACCATTAGTGAGAACTTAGTCTGTACTAGCCTGCATTGCGCCGAAGAGATGTGACAAAAACAGGAAGTTAGTTGACTTTGCGAATGGATGTTGCTAAAGAATTACATCTGCCACGAGGAAATTCTTGTTTTACCAGGGGTTTAATTAAGATAACTGCTGCTGCGATTTCCTGTTTCGCTTTCGCTGAGAATGTTCAATGGAAAGATCACGGCAATAAATGCAGCGTAAAAGAGAACGCAGGTGAGGGTACGCTACGGCTCCAAGGTATTGTATATATCGAGCTTAGTTACTTTGGAATGTTTAGTTTGGTCCATTTACTGAGCAGACAAACCCTCGAGGCACTCACAACTCTGGTCATCCCGATATAGAAACGTATTAACAAAGGGGTTAAAAGAGTATTTATTAATACAGATGCAAGAAGACACAGATATTCTTTCACAGAACCACAATCAAAATGCGTTGCAAAATAACAACTGTCATTCCGAATCACGGCATAAAAATTAAACACATCAGTTGATACAAAATGTACGCTTGCAGCAACGTCATAAAAGTTTTAAGTAGCGCACGTTTATAATGCACTTTCGTAGACACATATAGCATAATTTGATTTTGAAAAGAACAGGTTCAAGAAAGTTAGCAAAAAATGCCAAAAATTTAAATTTTCCTAAGCATGAACTTATACTGTATTATAGAATTCGCATAATTGTTCCCACTTACGGCTGGAGACAATGGTGATCACGGCGTTGATTAAAGCAGCAATCGTAACTACAATCCCCAACACCACCATGCCTTTTGACCCCAGGAAATTGACAGCGCAGAACTGCGCTTTTGAATCGAACATTTTTGGGACAGAATGCGTGAACGCGAACGTTAAAATGGAAATGCGGTTGTAACAATGATACAATTAAGGTGGTTTTGGTAGTTTGCTTTAATGAAGAGTAATTCCAAGTGTCGTTAACATTGTAATTGTAGCTTCTTATATACTCAGTAAAACAATCAAATTCTAAACTCTGAGTAACAACTTCGCCTAAGGCCGGTGTATGACAAAGGGCTGGGTGCCAACATGAGTAACAGACATTAGTAACGGTTACACTCATTTATTCTAACACCCCCTTCACAGTCCGCGGTCATTCAGTCCATGCATCCGAGCAGTCCGGTGATGGATTTGACCTTGATCCCTCGAGCGCCTTCGTCAGCATGTCCGATGGATTTTGATCCGTTGGAATATAGCTCACCTCGATCGATCCGGCTTTCGTTTCCTGGCGGATTCGGTGGTAGAATTCCGACATGCTTGGTCCGCTTATGGAATTCCGGGATCCTTCGACAAGGCAATCGCGCCTTGATTATCCACACACATCTGGTGGCCTTTGTCATGTCCACTCCGAGCGCATCAGAAACGGTCTGCTCCACTCGTTCTGCTTAACTGCCTCGGCCAGTGCCATGTATTCGGCTTCCGTCGCAGAGAATGCTGTCACTTTTGCAGCTGGGAACTCCAGGCAACAGGTCCGCCTCCCAGGGTGAATACATATCCGGAGGTTGATTTCCGCTCATCCGGATCACCTCCCAATCCGAGTCAATATCCGGTCAACTCCATGCTTTGCCAAACGTCAAAGCCATGGTTAATGTGCCTTTTAAATAGCGCATTACCGTTTAACAGCTGTCCAGTGGTTGAATCGGTTTCTTCCCAAACGACGCCAGGCGGTTCACCGTAAGTGATATCCGGTCGTGATATGGAAGAGATGTAGATGAGGCAGCCAATCGCTTCCATGTGGACAGCTATGGCTCTTCTCCATCCTCAGATTTCATCAGCTTGACATTCGGATCCAGAGGAGACGTATAAGTTTTACTCTCCTGTGGTCCAAATCGCTGCAGCATGCGATTGATGTATCCTGCTGGTTGATGCTGATGGTGCCGATCTTCCTGTTCCGACCGATCTCCATGCCCACACCAGTCTGGCTCATGAACCGTCAGTTCGAAATCTTCTTTAAGTTTCTTGGAAATCATCCACCACTTTTCGCGTCGCACCACATACCAGCCCATCATCAACATACAGACACAGTACCATGTACTCCTTACTCGTACCTTTCTTCACGTAGACGCATGGATCTTCTGCATGCAACAAATCCATGTCCAGTTAGTACTGCGTTCACTCGCTCGTTCCACAATCTTGGACTTTGCTTCAAGCCATATATTGAACGCTTCAACCGGCATACACGTCCACTACCGTCGTCGTACGTTGCCGGCTGGTCCATATATGACTTTATCAAGTCACCATTCAGAAATGCAGTCTTCACGTCAAACTGCACCATTTCCAGGTTGCGTGCAGCAGCCACCGCTAACACACAGCGCACCGATTCGTGTCGTACGACGGGGCAAGGTTTCGCCATAGTCGATGCCTTGCGCTTGTGAGTAGCCGCATGCCACAAGCCGCGCTTTCCTTATCCAGCTCGCCATCTGGAAGTAGTTTCGATTTAAAACCCTTACACTTCACAGTGCGCCGGTCTGCTGGTAGCTGTTCCAAAGTCCAAGTGCCCGTTTTATACAGCAATTTCAGCATCCATTGCTTCCTTCCACAGGTGCCCGTCTGCTCTCGACAGCGCATCCTGAACATCAACTGGATCTGCGGCCGTGGCCATTGCGCTCAACGCAGCTCCCTTGGCTCTGGTTTCCATGGGATGCGGAAGAGGCGGATCCTTCACCAGATTCTTTGATCCCGGTGGTCGCCCTGGCCGTCGCTTCTCAACTGCTGCCTTTCTACAGCAGTCTCGCTTCAGCTCATCCTCCGCATCTTCCCACTCTTCGTCATCCCGCTCGCTCATCCCCTTTGAGGCAGGATACCGTAGAGCAACTTCGGGAATCTCGTCGCCACCATCCGCGACAACCACATCTCCGCTCCACCTTTTTCGTTTCCCGGTTGAACACCGGAACTTTCGTGGTATCCCAATCGTAACCTACAAACAGTGTTTTTTACCGACTTGGGATCCAGCTTCCGTCTCTGATCCTCGGAACTTTCACGTAGGCAGTTGATCCGAACACCCGCAGGTGGTCAACTGTTGGCTTTCGGCGGTGCCACAATTCATACGGGGTAATTTCCAGCTTTCCCCGATTTGGCACAATGTTCCGTAGGTAGGCAGCGGTTGAGATGGCTTCATTCCACAGAAGATTTTCTCACTTTTGTGATGTCCGCATCGTAGAGCAGCGTTCGCGCACTGTCACAGAGCGTGCGGTTTTCCCGTTCTGCCATGCCGTTTGCTTGCTTCACGTACGCCGGACTTCTTTCGTGCTTTATCCTCTGTTCTGAAACAGCGTTTCAACCTCCTGGTTGATGTATTCAGTCCGTTGTCCGTGCGAATCGACAACACCTTTCTACCAGTTTCCTTTCTGCTGTGATAATCAACTCTTTGAATGCATTACCCACAGAGTGCTTACTTGGTAGTGTTCGACCATTCTGTATCCGCTGCTTTCATCTTTGAACGTCAAGAGATATCGATGTCCTTCCCAGGAGTCTGCGCCCATATGACACACATCACTATGGAACCTCTCACCTGATAGACATTCCTTCCAGCACTGCTGTCATGGGTGTTAGCCGTTTGCTTTCCCATATGACACGCTTCTACAGTCACCACGCTTCGAGGTCACCACCTCCAGGCCGTCCACCACCTTGTTGCGGACCATGGAGTTGACCAATGCGTCGCTGACGTGTCCAAGTCGTTGGTGCCAAATTCCACAGGCTGCGCCTTCAGCACACCTCCATGGCGGCACCACGCGTATGAAAGGTCGGTACGTTGTACCGTCACCTCGCACTCCACCCAGGAACGGCTTGCCATCTCTGCTGATTGTCATCTTGCCTTTAGCGTGGGAAAATGCGAATCCTTCTCGCTCCAAGGTCACCGTGGACAGCAGCGTAGTGTCACATGCATCGGGTGCATAGAAGACATTCTTCCAATCCACTTCCCGCCACTGTTTCCCATCGACGGACACTTCGACGTCAATCGTGCCAATATGGGTAGCCTTGATGCTCTGATTGTTGCCAACCACGAACGATTTGGGAACATCTAGCTTAACTAGAGTTTTAAACCAGTTGTATTTATTCGTGATATGGTCACTTGCACTATCGGCGATGATCACATCCTCTTCCTGGTCGCATGCATGGCTGATACCATCATCGATTCCTTCTTGTAACCGTGACCGGACTTGTCCTGTCGCTTGTTGGTGATTGTTTCCTTTGGCTTTGACCAGCAATCGGCCTCTTTATGGCCCGCTTTTTGCCGCAGTTGTGGCAGCTTCCGGTGAACTTCTTCTTCGCTCCAGTTGGTAGTCGCTTACCTTTTGCGTACAGCGACTCACCGGCTGGACTGGACCCGCTTCCTTCTCCCTGTCCCTTCATCATCTTTTCCGCTAGGAGCAGCTTTTCCCGAACTTGGACATCTCAGGATTAGGACCGGCCATCATGTTCCACGACGACACAAATGACGCGTACTGTTTGGGCAAGCTGGCCAGCGTCTTACCGATCAACCAGGTGTCGGTAACCTTTTCCGGCTTCCCGCACGCGTCTATCTTCGCCGCTAGAACATACAATGATGCCATGAATGTATTTGCGTCGTCTACCTCCTTCCACTTGACTTCGAAAAATTCGGTCATCGCCGACATCAAGTCGTTGTCAGTCTTCGGCTCTTTCAGCTCCTGGATCCTCTTCAGAATCTCAGCGGACGTCTTGCGGTCCCGACACTGACTGAAGGTGGTATCATCCACTGTTGCGCGCAAAATACTTCTGGCTTTTCCATCGGCAGCCATCCACTTCTAGGTGGTGCTCATGCGCCGCTTTATCCGTTGCCGAATCTATGGGCATCGTCAGTGTCCCATTCACAACAGACCACAAGGACTCACCAGTCAACACATCCTCCACCTGTACCTCCATCGCGAGTAATTGGAGTCGTTTAACTCGGTGACCTTAATACTCTTCAACTGCGCCATTGTATTATCCACAACACAATGATAAAACAAACTTCACACAAACACTGCTTAGAGACAAGCAGGTCTCATAATCTGATACAATTAAGGTGGTTTTGGTAGTTTGTTTTAATGAAGAGTAATTCCCAAGTGTTGTTAACATTGTAATTGTAGCTTCTTATATACTCAGTAAAACAGTCAGATTGACTAAACTTCTGAGTAACAACTTCGCCTTTAAGGCCGGTGTATGACAAAGGGGCTGGGTGCCAACATGAGTAACAGACATTAGTAACGGTTACACTCATTTATTCTAACAGGCAAACAATACCAAAATATTTTATGAGGAAACGATCAGAGCGATGGGGGATTCATCGGAACTGGATATATAGGCACTGGATATACTGTATAGCGCAGATTATTGTTTTCTGCCTGTTAAGATAAAAATAAGCAAATGCAACCGCGCCGACAAGATTTTTCCTGCACCCGTCATACACAGTTAATACCGCATCCGGCGATATTTTTACTGCATTTTTGATCATGAGTGACTCATTAGCAACTGGAAACTTGCCGGAATCGTACCGTGTGCCTCAAATTTGAATGTACGGTCAACATGACCTTGAATCACCCTTGAAGTGGATAAAAGATTATAGTAGCGCCGTGTCTAGATTTTGCTCTGGACAAGATCAGCTGTGCAAATTTAGAAAAAACGTGTGATTACTTTGCATAATGTTGCTGGAATATTGCATGTAAAGTGAGTCCTAGTTCTTCTACTGGACTTTCACATTTGTACTCTACTATCTCTGCGTATACGCACCGATACGTATTTTGCGATACGCTAAATTACAGTCATTACAAAATTTAATATTATTATACCAGTACACTTTGTGCTAGGCTTTACTTTGGTTCACTCTTCTTATCCGTAAAACGTTCAGTTCCAAGTGCTCCCTTCAATGATTGTTGTGCGTCAGTTTTAGTGAGCTTTATCGACAATAGCCAGTATACATAACAACATGCCTGCGCTGATTTACACTAATAAAAATGATCGAATTTTTTTAGTTAAAATATAACATGCAATAATAATTAAGTCAATTTTAGTTAAAATATAACATGCAATAATAATTAAGGGTAAGGCTAATAAACAAGGTATTCACTATTCACTATGTTTGTACGGACGTTAATAAAATCGTCTAACCATAAGTTACATATCTCTATGATTTGCCGCATAATTTTTATCGGTTGGGAAACTTATTCCTACAGATTTATTACTGCGAAGCAAATCAAGACTTTTATTTAATTGCTACGCATCAAGAATCCCAGTGCGATTGATTTCACTCTTGCTGAATCCTTAACAGCCATTTGTTTGCCACGATATCTGAATGCTGCAGCTTTTTTTTCAAATCATTAAATTTACGGACCGAAGTTAATTCGAATTACTTAGCGGAGGCTTTCATGTGCAAATGTACTCCAAAAGTTGCATACAAATTAGCAACGAACATGTTAAGAAAGCAGTTAACAACAAACCAACGGTACTCATTTGCAGATGTGCAGAAGGCGTTATAATTTGGAAATTGCAAATAATTCGTGTAGCTATCCGTGGCTTCCGCTTTGCTTCCCCACCATACTGATTCACACTGAAAACGTTTGCGCATAATCGCATGACGAAGATTCTGTAATATTCACAGAATTCTTTGTGTCTTTTCCAATAACTTATTTACATTGTCCCACCAGGTAGTTAAAAAAATTTGTTGATTTTTAAAAAATAAAGGCTCTTTAAAGACAGGGCATAGATGTTACGGAAAATAAGATGTCGAACAAATTAGGAAGATTTTATCTTCCAAGCTTAACCTTTCTCGCGTGGAGTCCGTTGTCGCGAGAATTGTCTTGTAGGCGAAGTCGAACAGAGCGTTTCGCGCTAGCGGTTCGCCGTAGCCCAGTTTAATGGAGGGTTAGGTGCCACCACTAGCAGTGTGACGGGTGTCAAACGACAATCACCATGGTCAGTGTGTTACCCGGGGATAAGTCGAGTTGATGAGGCCGTATGCGGTTTTTACTCTTTTTATCTTGCAGTTTTCTGCATGTTGACCCTCCACGTAGCGGTCGATAATTATTATGTAATCTGCTATAGGCAGAGTTATTTTACAAAGTTATGTTTGCCTAACGATGCTGATGGTAATATTCAGGTGGTTCGTCCTAGTCACATGTTCATCGACTGTTAAAATGTTTGCCATGTGTAAAAAATGTTTGGACGGCAGGTACCAGTGTACCGTTATCTTTCCAGCTACCCACATTGTGCGGTATGATTATGAGCAAATACACCGTTGTGGCATTGCACTGTGTACATAACTTTGACAAGGAGTGCAGCGCTGATGCTTCTGGACGCTTACAGACGCTTCTGTACAGCAGGGCGGAAGTTACGATGCTACAGTGTATTGCAAATTTGCATTGCAGTCAATGTTGACTCTCTTATTGCATCGGCAGTAACTGAAAAACAAAAGAAACGAAGTAAACTCATATACATAATCTGATACCACAACGACATCCATTCCCGTACTTGTCGCATTGCTCCCGTTACTTAATGACTTCGTAAGATGTATATCGCATCCACTCTCTTCGAATTTCGGTCTTGCGGCGTAAACATCTACCCGAACTGAACATGGCTGCCAGTACTTTACCTTATTTGTTTAAACAACTCGTATGACAGTTTGCTTTCTTTAATAAAAATGCTAATATAGGTGTGAGATGTACATAATAAAATCCTAACGGCTATTAGTAGCTGTGCGCTGTGGCACAACCTTGTAATAAAGCGAGTAACGCGGCCCAGAAACGCTCTAAAATCGACACGATACTGTATGTCGTTAAGTAAGGACTGCCTGCATTTTGTCAGAGATACATTTGCATTTTCCGTCACTTCCGTGAAAGCTGTTGCTGCTGTGTGAGGCGCAATAATAGTCATGACATTCGTGCATTTATCACCGACATATGCAAGCCCGCTTCCTAATTTACCGTAGTTCCTCATTTCTTTTCCTAATAACTGGAATGCGTGCGGCGAGAATTGCATCAATATATCAACTTTTTTTCGCGTGATAAACAGGAAGCAGAGGGGGAACCTGATCTTGTTGCATTTGAAAGACACTGGAAATCAGAGCCAACTGGAATGGAACGAATGGTAAACTAACAGTCTGACAGAGATATATGTAAGCAAAAGAAATATTGTACTCGTATCCTTAATCAATTTTTAAGCTATTTCCCGATTCAAATAATAACGTATTTATTATAATTTTCTCTTTTTCATAGTAGTATTATGTTTTTAACATAATTGTAACAAAGTACTGCGGACGCATTGTAAAGTTACTGTGTCGATTAAAACCGTTTGAAGCGGCTTTTGTTTTAGAAGAAATTTGTGACGCTGTTTCTATTTGTGACTGTGTATTGTTTTTTCTCACGTACAAAACAGTCTAAGCGTCCAGTAAATTGAGTCAGTAATCCACTGATCCTGATGGACGCAGTTACATTTCTATTGGTGACCTTTGCATGAATTGGCGATATTGCCATCGCATCTTTGATCTTTGAATACGTTGGGTTCCACAATTTGTTGAAAATGTTTCAACGGTAATTGGTGTAAACGATTTTCAGTAATTTTTTACCATAATTGGACTTTAAAAAGCCACTGTAAGCTGTAAATGGCCACCTCTGTTGTTGCAAGTCGCTTCTCTAACGAAGATGGCAATAATACCAAATTACTCGCAACTACAAATTGATGGCAGTGATTTTAATCGTCCGCAAATCCAAATGAGAAATAGCGCGCATTTTTGGCAGCGTCGCAGCGCTGCTTGTACCGGCATATACAGACACAGACTATACAGACGCAGCAGCAAGGACATCAAGTTGCATCAGCGTATTCAAAAGTTCAAAAGGGCAATAGTTTACTGTTACGTGTCAAACTGCCACCATTTTTAAAATAATAAGCAAGAGGAAGCTATCGCTAATCGTTAGTACGCTGTACAACGTCACAAGTTCTGTACAGAGATACAGCATATGTACACAGAATTAAAATAAATAATTGCAGTTGCAACAAAATTTGCAAAAATAATGATATTCATTGGCGAGGCAAAAAAATCATACTGAGAAGCTGCAACAAAGGCATCGGAGATTTAAACACACTTGGAGCTCCCTAACAATAAGGTACTAACCCTTGTAATAACACCAGAGTACCGCTGTTTACAATATGTTTACAATATGACCAAAGAGTAAATGGCCAGCATCACGCCCCCCGCCATAACGGCATTGAGTAAGCGCAAGAAAATAATATATGAACGCGAACCCCGCGCGGAGCAATCAATGCATATTCCACCCGCTGGAGCCAATTTGGTGAATTCTAGATCATCCAAAAAGCCACGTTTTTTGCCGTGACAGTGGCAGTTAGGAGTGCCTGCGACGCTTTCATACTCCACACCATACGGGGCCAAACGCACCCAGAACAGTCCGGCAAAGACGGACTCGAAAAGGAAAATGGATGCAGTCAATCCATATAAAGCCAGAACCAGACTGTGCACGGACTCTGGGCAGGCCTGCAGCACCGCGTCCGCTAACGTGTCATTATAGTTGCTGGTCAGTGCTTTATCGGTGTCGCTGGTGTCTGTCATTATGGTGTCGATCTCGTGTGTCCAGTTTTTGAGGTATGCCGCCACCGCCCGCTCGTAATCTTTGCTTTTGAGAAATACAGCGGTGTCGTTCTTGGAAACACCCATGGCGCCCATGTACTGCTGCATCTTTTCCAAAACTTTTCGTTGGATTGCGTCCGTACTTAATTCTCCAGCCTTATCCATTACTGCTTGTTGTTTGTCCATAAGCGCTTGTGTTTTTTGGAAGTAATTAGGCTCACGGGGACTAATCAGGGCGTAATCGAACGTGCGCAACAGCAACACCAAGGAAAGCGTAGCCAGCAAGCCGAACATACCGCGCATGATCAACATATGCTTGGAGGTCATGTGCTTGGTGCACTGGCGCGCGAAGAATCCGCAATGTTCAAAGTGGAGACTGGCCGTCAGGACAAACAGGAAAGAGGGGAGACACGGGTTGACAGGTGTGTGGGGATAGATTAATTCAGGCGGGCCATTTCCTAAAATTAAAAATTATCAGTAGAAGTATACCATTATTAAGGTGCAGTGGGCAGAGGGAATGCCGAAAATGGAATGGGAAAGTGATAAATAAAAATGTGACAGATAACAAAAATTAGCGCTACGAATTGGTCAAAATTAATCAGTACATCTACTACGATCTATTAGTACATCTAACTGCTGTTCTTAACAGTGATTTAACTGAGACAATAACCGCTGCGGTTCCGTCTTTACTGTAAATATACATTGGGATATGTCAAAGGTCACTGCACTAAATGTTGCGAAAAAACTATGCAAGCGAGCTTGCGTTACGAACATACGGTACACGTTGCTCAAAATGTAGGGTGACACAGTAGCCATCCCTAACATTCCCGTTCTTTATAGCCATCCCTTTTCCCAACCCCGTTTATTAATCTGTTTCTACGTAGATACCGCTATTTTTATAGACACCCATTTTGCGTTGCAATTTAAAACATTTTCTCAGCGTAATATGCTAAACGATACTTCTATTCGAGTAAAGGATCCGAACGTAGCTGTTAATATTACAATTTCCACTACTGGGAGAATCACAAATATCTTTCTAATTACGGTAAAAATGCAACAAAGCGTTATCGAGAGACCTTTATTGACTTTTATGAGAGGCACCTGGCACGTACAATGTAAACTTTTGAACTATTGCCAGTCTGTAGTGCTTGTACAAAACGGTCGAATAGTTGCACAAAGAGCTTTAAAAAATTCGAAGCTTTAGGGGGCGAAAAAGCATGAATAAAATTTTATCTAATAACAATTTACAGAATACTGTAATCATAGTGAAATTTGTAGCATTAGAGAAATAATAAATAATGTAATAAATAAAATGTTTGCTCATAAAAACCGGGAACAGGCTGTGTTTATTATGTATTTAATATAAAAAGGGTGCCTGTAGTTAACGGGGTGCGAAGAAGGGTGAAGGGCTATAGCGACTTCCTATGTATGCAGTATAACATTTGGCTTCCCAAATCACGGTTTAAAGAACGCACCAGCTGGCATAAAAAATAAATTTGCAACAACGCCATGAAATTTAAAGAAACGCGATGCAGCGTGCTTTAATTAAATATTCGTAAACGCATATAAGTCAGCTAACAATTATAAATTTGGTAAAGTTAATTTTTCCATGCAAGAACTGAACGCTCCAACATGTGCAGAATTGCTCCCACTTACGGCTGGCGACAATGGTGGTCACGGAATTTATAAAAGCAGCAACAGTAATTATGATCCCCAAGGCCATCATGCCCTTCGATCCCAGGAAATTGACAGTGGTGAACTGCGCTTTTGAGTCGAACATTGTTAGCTCGGAATGCAGGCAAAATAAAGTGAAAAAAAACGAACGTTTGCAGTAAAAATGTGGTTGTGACATGCGATACCAGAATGTTTTGCCAGAGAATGAACAGAGTGGTGAGAGATCCACCGGAAGCTGGCGCTGCATATATAGCCTAAGTTTTATTCTGCCTAATAGAAGATAAACAAGCAACAGCGGCCTGGGCGACAAGATTTCTCTGGATCCAGGCGGCTGAGTTATCAGAAAGCGCAGCCATCGATTTTTTTTACTGCATTCCTGACCATGAATGACTCACTGGCAACTGGAAACGGGAAACTTGCCGGAATCATACCGTGTGCCTAGACAGATTTGAATAGTAGGCGGAACATACAGTCAATGTAACCTTGGATCACCCTTGAAGTGGATGAACGATTAGAGTAGTGCCTGGTCTAAATTGCGCCGCCATGAACGGCTGTGTAAATCTATGAAAAACCGTGCGCTTACTTTGCATAACATTACTAGCTGGAATAACGCATTTAAAGTGAGTACTAGTACTTCTGCTGAACTTTTACATACATATATACTGTATACATATATACTGTATTTATATACTGTATACATACAGATATGTACGTTTGTTGTGCACTAAATTGCAACCATTACAAAATTTAAATATCATTATACACATTGTGCGAGCCTTCGCTGTGTTTTATCTCTTTTAGAATACTTCTATACTTCCATAGATAAATATAACTTAACGATGTATTTATGAATGATATATAGATATTATATTCACTATTCATTATAATCGTACGCACGTTAATAAAATTGTCTCTATGATTTGCGGCATGACTTTTAACTGTTGGAACTTATCTGTACAGATTTATTATTGCAAGGGAATTTGGATCTTCATTTGAGTACGAGGCATCTACTGTAGAATCCCATTCAGATTGATCTCACTCTTGCTAAATTCTTGCCAGCCAAACTCTTGCCACTTTGCTATGTAATTGAACTTTACTTCGGTTCGTAAACATAAAAAATTTGAAAACAAGCTTTAGCATTCAAATACCGGCTTTGAATGCGTAAATATACCTACTCCAAAAGTTTGCACACAAGTTAGCAATAAACATATTTTTAAAAAGTGAAACATTGTGCGGTAAAATAAGTTTATTCGCCAAAATGCAGTGCCTTATCTTGCTACGTTTGTAGCAAGTTGCAAAGCAGTGGAAATAAAGCTAGCTTCTGTGTTCAGCGACCCGCACTGCATAACCATGGTTGGTATCTTTCTCGTGCGGTCTTCTGAAAAAAGTGAATCCAACTTTTGCTTCTTCTAGAAGTGTGGGCGATACAACGGTTTTTACGAAAGTTCGTCGCTGTGGTTCCATGTCATCAGTTGAAGCGTTCCGTTACTCAGTAATTCTGTTTCCCGTTGTGTTTCCGGTGATTTTTCATCCCAGGAAATTAGCACGTATGTTGTAATTAGCCCAACAAACTGCGTAATACCGAAAAGCCAACGATGTACCAGTGCGGCCGCAACCAATGAGTGAACAGAGTTCGTTACTTACCGCGATAATGAATTCCCGGTTGATACGTATTAGTCCTCCAATGGTGAATCCGTTATCGGCTCTGTCCAGCAAATATAAACGGAGTGCAGCCGCTTTTCTGTGGGCTTTGCTTTTCATAGTAGTGATTCGCATCGCCAACAAATCACTAAAAGCTTTAGCCTAAATAACAGTACGGATATCACATAAACTGGTTAGTTTTTCGTGTTTTAGTCCGAAGGAGTATGATATTGTATCCATCAACTCAACACGCCCGTTCAATATATTTTAAATTGTAATTTAGAGTACTCGTAATACCTTTACTTCAGCGCATGCCAAAATCAGTGTTCTGACAACTCCGTTAGCCACGACATGTCCAACAAACAGAGCATACTTTGTTGCTTTTTCCTCGTCACGATTCCGAATTAACGTAACCAGAAACATCAGCCATACGAAATAACGTAAATACAAAAACAGCAGACACCATTGCATATTCCCGCTCAGCTCTCTTAAACAAGCGCATATACTGTTATGTTGCTCGAAAAGTTCAGCGATATCTTCGCTTTCTTCAGAGGCGTATATTTTATGAACCCGTCCCATGGCCACAATAATTACTGCTACTGCAAATACAAGGACACACTGCGAAACCGTTATTAAAACTTCGTGCAGCAACATGGCTGAGTAGGAAAGCCAAGCGATTACGTGTCGTAAGTGTTTGTGCTTATAGCTGAGCAAGTGGCTAAATTCTGCTGCAGTCATTGATCTTCCCCCGGATGACCTTACGATGGCCTCAAAAGACACATAAAACGAATATCCGCACGAAACCAATAAGATATGGCCAAACCCAATCAATACGATTTTGCTCTTTGCAGGCAAGAATCTGTCACAGACAGCAGCGGTGGTTCTGAGCCAGGATTTGAAATGCCAGAAACTGACCATTGTGCCCAATGAGGTTAACGGTCCACAAACTTCAAACATTACTTTTACAAACACCATAATCAGTTCCATGGGTGTTTTAGGAAACGGCGACGGCTCAATCCCGGTCAACCACAATGCGGGATACAGAAATGTCCCGGCGGTGACGGCCACTGCCCAAATAATCAGACCGAAATCCAGTAGGCGGATACAGCACCGGGCTTCCTTGCCAAACCAACCAATCTGGACCAACCCGAATATTCGCATAACCCATAAGCATGGATAACAACAAGTTTCGAGAAAAGTGTCCGCAAGCAGCCTTTGTGGCAGCATTCGGAGCCTGTTAGCCATTGTTTGTGCTGAGTTCTTGCAGGGGAATTGTTGAAGTTTTTCTAAAGGTCAAAGTTACGCGACAGATAGAATAATTTAGCCTGCACCAGACGTAAACAGTGCCTCACATTTGCGAGTGTGCTCTAGAAGCCATTAGGTGATGAAGAATACACGAGAGATTCAAAAGCTAACGTCACATAACACCAGTTCACTGCAGCTTATTTAAACCACAGTTGTTGGTGAGTGTATCCAACAAATTTAATCCAGGGTGGTTTATACGGTGTTATACATGTCGATACACATGAGCGCGAGTGAGACTACTTTTCTAAAGTAAACGAATTGCATCCGCTGTTATTTGAGAATTTCCGCAAAAGCTTTAGGGACGTTAGTTCCAGTAAAAGCACGCAAATTTGAAGTTTAGAGCGACTTGCAGTAAACGTCAACTGAAAACTGGTCTGAAAAATTGAAACGCTATATAAAGGAGTAGGTCACATTTCAGTTAGAGTTTCTTGTTCCAAATCGATACTTTCTAATGATAAGCAACATGCATGCACAAGTAAAGAAGAAAAATTTACCCTCAAGAATCTTCGCTTTCTAGTAACACGGAGCCGTTTATAAGTTTGCATACTCAAGCTAGTGTAATTTGCAACATGCATGCCAAACAGCGGCTGCATAACATGTTTTATTCTGATAACTTCCTTGCGATTGTTTTGTCACCCGGGCTGCTGCTTCTGCGATGTCTTGGATACGTTCCGGTACAAAATCTTGGGGTGCACATAGAACCACTATGCGCTCGCATTTTCGACCGATGCTTGTTAATTTGGTCCGTCATGTTAACATTGGCCACTGTGTGCTACTGTTGTTTCCAAGCATCCATGGGTGCCTCAGTAAACGTACCGCAACATCCAAGTGACCTACTAAAGGTCATGTGCACCACCCTCCCTGGATTCTGGACCTCGTTAGAACTTATTGGCATTTGTATGAGTTTTCGACGTATTCATGCGTTTTTTGAGGATTTTCAAGAATTCTGCCGTTTGTACTTCGACAAGCAACATCGCATGATCTGGATCCTCGTGGTTCTGTTTGTTCTCTCGTTTTGGCTATTGTATTACCTAGGTGAAGATGCATTTGCGATAAATCTGGAAGCTATCCAACCGTTGTATTTCGAAAACAGCGTCATTTTCCAAGTTTTAAGTTGTCCTCCTTCGGTTCGCCATACGGTGAGCATTCTCCTTTATGCATGTGTCTGCATTGCTGATACGCAGTTCGCATTGGCGCAAATTTTACTGATGGTCATAGCGTTGGCTCTGGCACTAGTTTTCCGAAGCATTAGTCAACAGTATTGTCGCGCTCAAACGCCCGATGAAAGAGAAGCCACGTTTCGGGTGTTCATGATGCTGCGGCAGCTTGTAGACCGTTTGGCCAGCGACACGGCGCTACTATGGATAGTGCTGTATTCCAGTGATCTGACGTGGACGCTATTTTTTGTGGCCCAAGCGCGTGATCCAGATCCGTTACGCGATCAAAAAGAAACTGCATTGTTCGTTGGCGGTGTTCTCGTGCTATGTATTATGCGGACGCTGGTCTTCGTATTTATGAATGATATGGTTAGTTTTCTCAAGATCTTCACCATATCAAAAATTTTATTGCTGTCGGTTTTTTAGGCCAATTCATTGGTTAGTGCAATGGCAGACCGAGCTCTAGCGCAGGAGAAAAATGGTGAGGAGATACGAAAAAACACCCGGCGGGTTATTTTGATGGATCGGCAGCATGTTGGTTTTACTGTTGGAGGACTGATCAGCATCAACCGCCAGTTTATCGTCAGCGTAAGTAATATCTCCGTGTGTGAAAATTTTGGTGGATTACATGGCTAATGCAGTTTTATTTCGTAGAGTGTTGGTGTTTTCCTGACGTACCTCTTACTATCATGGGACGAGCCTGCACGCGAATCTTTGAAGGTGGGGTTAAGAGCCGTTTTGCTGAACAATACTCTGTAGAATCTACACAAATGTATAACGCAGTGCAAAATTCTCTCGTAATAGTTGTTTTTTTTTGTATCTGTGTGTTCTTTTTATGTCTGGTGGTTCATACAGTGACACACTTTTCAGAATGTGCGTGCTTGATGTTACAAGTATTGTATGAGTAATGAATATGTCTAATATTCCTGTTTGAAAATGAACCGTCCAAGTCAAAAACACTGCGTTAAATAATTTGGCGTATCTACCTGAAGACTATGATTGACGAAAAACCAGACCCGTGTAATAAAAGGTGAAGCGCACCGGTACCGATTGCCACCACGGTACAGTACACAGCCGTTAAAAAGAGGGTAGTAGCCATGCGTAATCTCAAGGAATTAATTAAAAGATCAGGAATGCTGCGGTATCGTTAAGTCATCTACAAATCTGGATTAGTGGTTCCGAAAATTAAAT